CCTCTGCAATTATGTCTCTGGACTTGTAGAACTCTGGCCACCTCCCGGGCAGGGATGGAACAAGCGAGCATGCCAAGTGGGCTGGGGTTTAGGGTGTAGGGGGCTAGATGAACCCTGAACAATTGGGGGTTCCCGAAATTAGGAATACCTTATTTCGGACTATCTGGGGATCTAGTAGGGGATCCCCTATTTTCGGAAACCCCCATTCGAAGGAGCTGCAGGCAGCGCCCGGCGCCTGCCAGCTTGGTAGGCCCGGTTTGCGATGAGGATGCCCAGATCCCACAAATCCATCCAGTCCTAACTCATCATTGCGCATGACACCTGATGGAAGGCCCAAGCCCATGTGGTGTGAACTGTTTCGTGGGAGGCACAGCGGGAGCCTGGGGCTCCTGCCAGCTGCTTCTTGTGAAAGCGGCACGCCTCCAGGGCAAAGGGAAGCCGAGGCCCGAAACTCTGTTCCCTTACCATGCCCAAAGCACCCCGAAACCCCCTCCCGACGTGAGGGTGGGCATGGCTACTGCGTTCAGTTTATGAATGCTAGCGCGAGCGTTCTTGTACTGAAAGAAATACAGTACTGTCAAGGAAACGAATATTCAGGAAGTTGATCCTGGAACCCTTTGTAGTTCAAGAGGAAATATGAACAGAATTCCATCGAGCGAAAGGTACTCGGAAACATCTTTCTTGTTCACCACAACTGCTCACGTTTTCATAGTCTAGGTGAATCTGCATGCAAGTTACTTACTCCGCATGCACCACCAATTTCTTCTTCAGCGCCCCCCAAACCCCCTCGTGTCGCAAGCCTCCGCCATCTTCAAGAAGTATGCCGCCGCCTGGTCCTGGCATCCCCGCATGGTTTAGCGCCTAGGAATTAGTGTTTAGGGCCCAAAAAGGCTGAGCGCCTGGTGACGGCGGTCCTACTACAAGTACCCAAACAAAATGCGGGATGAAACCTTCAAGGTCCCGGACCTCTCGGCCCATCCGACGAAGGGACGAGCTCATGTTGCCTTGGCCAGGGGAAGCTTAGAGACCGCAATGCCCCTCCAAGAGGAAACATGCATGGTTTTTGGGGTTTACGGCGCGGTGATTCTTCCATGATAACAGTCACCCTATAAGGAATAGTGCTGGGTCCTTGCTTTCCTTTGGTTACTCCCAGTCAGTAAATCTACTTCCCTAAGCCCAATCTGGCCCTACATAATGATGCTTTCACGGGATGTGGGTCTCTGGGAGAACTGGGAGCAAAGCAAACGGAATCCGCGGGGTGGCTTTACACGTCCGGGTTTACAGCCGGGCTTTTCGGAGGTTTAGATAGGGTAAAGGGGTTAGGGCTTTCGATGTCCCCTTGCCCACTTTGGCAGCAGCCGTTTCGGGATTAACTAAGCATCGGCACTCAGGCCGCACATCAATCCAGATGACTCATATGACTCATGTGTGTAGGAGAGCATGACCGCGAGAACTGCACTTGACCCTGAAAGCTGAAATCTGAAAGAGTAGGCCAAGAGTGCGGCGGTAGAGCGTTTCGTAGAACTGGGCCGCCCCCTACAAACATGGCAACTGCATCTCAAGCCCAGTCGCGAAACAACTTAAACCCCAAACCTGAACCCTCAAGCCCTAAACTCTCCAAATCCTGCAAGCCGGCACCGGGCAACCCTGAAACCCTTGGCCCTGCACCTTTAGCCCGAAGCTCTCTGACGTCTTCACAGCAAGAGGTTCAGGGTCCAGGGTGCACGGCTCAGCCGAAAAAAAAGTCTCCAGATGGCCTAAGAACGCTACCCTAAACTCCAGTTGCAACAATCTCCTCGTCAAACGGAACTCTCATCAAAATCCCTGACAATTGGCACCCTTAACCCTAAACCCTGAACTTATTTCACACGAAGAAGGTAAGCTTTGCCAGCGGGGCCGGCTCGTGCAGAGGGAAAGTCGCAAGCGACTCCATCTCGTACATCATCTCCATTGCCTCAACGCAAGGTTCTACAATTTAAAACTTAGGGTTTAAGGCTGGGGTGTTGGGCACTAAAGCTTAGGGTTCAGGACAGCGAAGCACCAGGACCAATTCTACGGGAACCCACGTCACAAAAAGATCGGCACGTTCTGCAGAACCTCGACATCATCAGTCAGGAGCCCCCACTGCAAAAAGCAGAGCAAAGTGAGCTCGCGGTGCATTTCTCAGTCCGCGTCGCCTTCTGACCAAAGCACCTTCAGCGCCGCAACCGACTCAGCATGGCTCAGGTCCAGCCACAGAACGAACGTGACCAGCTGGTTCGCAAAAGGAGAGTTGCCACACCTTATGATGCATGGTATGCGTCGCCACCTCATGACAAACACCAGCAGCAATCACTCTTGTCCGATGGAAGGCCATTCCACCAGCCTCTGGCATGATGTCATCGTTATCAGAAGCTGCAAAAGCTTTTGCAAGCGGGATCCACGAGCTCCAAGCAACGCGAGGCAGGTACGACGCATCTGCGCCCCCGCTGCACAAAACATGCGGACTCCGATGCGAATACATACCCAGTGCTATGATGTCGGGTTCTGGTGTTTAGGGCTCAAGGCTTAAGGTCTAGGCAGCAGGCACCTTAGTGAGCGGACAAATCAGAACACCCAAAACGCTGCGAATATGTAGACAAGGCGCGCAGCATGCATCGCTTCAGGTCTCAAAACTGAGTCCACATCAAGAGACTTCAGGTGACCACAAAAATTTCCCTAGCCCATAAGCCAAACAGAAGTGAGCAACCTGAACTATCCCACAGCCTCCACGTCTCGGCTCTGCTTCATACGCACCTGCAAGCAGAAGGATGGTTGACCAAGACATGCGAAGAATGATGCGAAGGCAGATGCCCACCCCTGCCCCACCCCCTGCCCCCCCCCCCCCCCCCCCCACCCACCAACATGGGACAAAGACCCGGACCAGCACTAGAAACCTTCGCTGAGGTCTGAGAAGTTGAACACAATCTGGCGCGCCCAAATAATGGGCTTTGGAGCATACGCCCATTCTGGAGTCAGGCACTCCACCCGAGATGCTAGGGACTTGGACACTGAAACACTAAGCCGAAACGACCCTGCTTGCAGCGCCTGGGACATGTGGTTCAAATACTTGACCAGCCAAGCACCGCTCCTGAAAGAGCTAATGCGCAGGTCCACCACTCGAATGCAAAGGGCTCAGGTGCAAGGGTTTCGGATTTAGGGTTTAGGGTTTGGTTCAGGGCATCAGGGCAAGGACCTTAATTGTTCGGGAACCCCTTGAAAGATTACTGTTCTCATGGTAACCGGAACGAAAATCATGAGAAAGAACAGCAGAGGATATGGTGTTCGGGTACAGGAAGGCAGGGTGGACTGAATGACATGACATGACATGACGACACCTCTGCAACCCAAGTCCAGGCAAATGATCTCTCAACCCTGAACCCTAGGATTCGCAAAGACTGTATCGGTGTTGGGTCCCAAAAACGTTGAGAAGAACGCATTTCTGCTTGCCTTTTGCTTTCCTGCTTCTGCGGCCTTCTTCGCCTTCTTGGGGGTCTCCGGGTGCCTTTTTCGGGGCCGTTTGGGGGTTGAAGAGCACATTCTGCATTGCGAAGGGATCTTCAAGCGTCAGTTATGAGCTTCAGACGTGTCTTATGCACAGAGATTCAAGTTTGTTTCTAAAAATCGTGCTGTGCTACAATTTTGCTATTGACAGAGCAACTTCAGCATTGCAGTTAAGCTTCTTTCAATCAAATCATCTTTAAGCATCACTTATGAGCTCCGGTCGTCTTTTCTCAACAGACATTGAAACTTTTGAAAAAATGGTCCAAAAACATTTTTGTTTGGACTGTAACAAAAATATTTCAGCCCGCAAACACTTTTTTCAAACAAAAACGCATGTCTTGCCCAGAGAACATGCAAACAAAGAAAATGTGTTTCTAATTTTCTTCAAAGACCGCCATGCTTTTGCCCAAGCGGCCTGTGCATTTTCCGCGTTGTGTTTGCCGCTGGTTTCCCTGCATGCGCTTTCCGACAGGGTGTTTCCCACGCGCTTTTGCATTTTCGCAGATGCGTTTCGCACTGAGTTGCCCGAGAGTGCGTTTCACCTCCCCGAGTGCGTTTCTCCACGACGCGTCCCCGCGATGCATTTCCAGGGCTTTTTGTTCCGAGGGTGGCCTTTTTTTGGGGCCTCTGGGGGGTCTTTTGTGAATTTGTCGGCCCGGCGGAGGTTTGGAGCTTTTTGGGGGGTCGGTGCCAGCAAGTTCAGACAACCTTGTAAATTCCAAATGCTGTCACATACAACTTCTATTTATGTTCGTCTCGAGGGAAAGGGTCGAGGATGTAGGGACAACGGTCTGCTGGAGGTACTGGTCTCCCGGGACATCCTCTGTTCCGCATTGCGAGTGCAGCGCAGCAGGACGGCCTGCCAGAAGCTGCGAGGAGGGGTGAGTTTGCGTGGGCGTTGGACAGAAGTTTTGTGGTTAGGGTTTGGAGCTTAGGGTTTGGGAGTAAGGGTTTGGAGGGTTTGGGATTCAGGGTTTGCAAGCGTGGAGGGCTCTTTCAAAACCTATAAACCCTTTGGAATCCCATTCCATGCTTTGATCCTGTCCCGGGACCCCAAACAGCGCAAGACCATGTCAAGAGCACTTGGGGCACTCCAAGACCACTCAAAGATGTTTTTCCAAGAGCGCTCCACCTTTCCTTTACTCCCGACGTCAGAACCCCCTACTTGAAAACCCGCTCGACCACCTCCCTTCAACACCCCATGAGAAACCCTTCAAAAGCCTTCCTTGAACAACCTTGTAAGAAAACCTTCGAATCCAATCTTAGAGATCTCGGACGTTAGAGACTTTACAAGATCTCGCGCCTCGGCTTTGTCCAGCTTGTAGTTCTTCTTGTACCTGCGATCTTGCCAACATAGCGAGTCCAGGCTTAGTGCCATGAAACTGAGGGTCTCTCTGGGAAGTTGCAAACCAGGGCCCATGGAAACCCTTCAAGTCCCACACCCAAGTGCTGAGCTCGGCAGGCGCCCTTTTTGCCTTTCAGGATGTTACGTCTGCAACCGTCATCTTCATGACACTCACCGCCTCCTCCACTTGCAGTCGGAGCTTTAGGTCAATATGTCCGCCGCCTAACCAGAACTGGCCGGAAGGAAGATTTGCAATGGCGTCACTGAGTATCATGGGGAGATCTTGCTTCAACGGCGTCACGGCATTGTGGCCGTAGCCCGTAATGGCTTGGCACGCAGGGCCTTCCAGCAAGCGCATGTTGTATTGCTTCTTCCCCAAAGCTGGCAATCCCCTGGCTGCTTCAATGGCTTGCACAGCTTTGATTAGCTTCTCCTTGTGGAGCTTTGCCACATATTGAACGACCACAAGCACAGATCGTACACGTCCTGCGTCAGCGTCACTTTCAAGTTTCGTGTTCTCCATGACCACGCTTTTGCACAGCTCATCCACGGTGCTCGCACCGAGTCGATCGCGCCTCCACTCCAGCGTCTGCTCATAATATGGCGGATGCGGATCCACAGCCACAAGCGAGGCAGACAGGCCAAGCTCAGCGACCACTGCCTGCATTCGGAGTCTGACGCCCTCCGCGCTTTCCACATCAGCGGGCAGCACAGCCTCTTGCATCTCGCTAGGCTCTTCACTCACAGATACGGGAGGCGGAGTCTTGCTGGCCTGGCTACCGAGGGCGGAGGCAAGCGTCAGCTGAATCTGGGGCATACTGACCAGAGAAAGCCCCAGGCTTCGCAAAGCATCCGGGGACTCGGCCATTGTGCGTCACGGTTCAGACCTTGTAAACCCTGCAATATTTGCTTTACGAAACCCGGAGCTCTAGCATAGGATAGCTGGCCCTGAACCCACCCCCCAGCGCCGGCACGCCTGCTGTGATCCAACAGAAGTCGGGCTTCGATTTCCATCAGTGCACTTTGCGAGTCCATGTCGCCACCCCAAAGCCCTGAAAAAACCCTACACCCAGATACCGGGATCAGGGAACTTCACTCAAGTTCCTTCGCAGCGGCAAGGTAAGACCTCGGCTTTCCCCTCTGCAAGAGATTCGACGCACCGTTCCTTGCAGGTGAAACACTGCTCGTAGCCTCCCAGCTTTGGGGTGCAAACGGTTTCTGACTGAAACTTGGGGGGGGTTGCTTCTAAACCAGGGTCCCTTTTGAGGTTTGGGGTCTTGGCTTCAGGGATCAGTGAACCTACCACAACCAGGTGCCTGTAAGGAAATCTTGGATGATGCGGGGGGTCAGCAGCCTGAATCCTAAATCCAAAGCCCAAACCCCCAACCCCCAAACCCCAAACCATACCCTGTGGCCCAAAAAGCCTCCCTCTTCATATTCATAATAAGGTAGGTTTTTGGCTGAGAGCCATGACCACAAAGACACAAGACACTTCACTTCTGGAGGTTCAAGTCGTTTCTAGGGGCTGCACACCCTACGGAACCCAAACCCGAAACCCGAAACCCTAAACCCTAAACCCTAAACCCTAAACCCTAAACCCTAAACTCTAAACCCTAAACCCTAAACCCTAAACCCTAAACCCTAAACCCTAAACCCTAAACCCTAAACCCTAGCCACACTGAAACCTTTTTTGAAACCTTTTGGGTGTTTGGGGTTTAGGGACCTGGTGGGCAATTGAGAAACCCCCGTATGGGTGCAAGCAGACTTGGAGGCCCGTGAAGAGTGCCAGAAATAGGGCTGAGGGTTTAGGGTTTAGGGCTTGGGGTTTGGAGTTCAGGGTGTGGGGTTTAGGGTTTGGGCTTTGGGGTTTAGGGTTTGAGGTTTAGGGTTGAAGGTTCAGGGTGCAAGGAAATCTTGGGACTTGAGGTTTGGTCAGGTCAAGGCTTAAGGTTTAGGAATCACAGTGTCTGATCAAGGTTGAGGGTTAAACCCGAGGGCTTGAGAGTCTTAGGGCTTGGGGGGTTACAATCCAGGAACGTTTAGGGTTTAGGGCTTTGGGGGGTTTGGGAGTTGTTTTGGGTTGAGGGCCGCTGCCCACGGACCTCCAAAGATGCAGCACTTTTTGCCGCAGGCTCATGCGCAGGCATGGCGCGATTAAGGGTGAGACCTTCTTTCTTCTTGGGCAAGAGGTGTCAAGGCTTCAACATGCCGGGGTTTTGGGGTTTAGGGCTTACTGGTGCTTTTAGGGGGGGGGTTCTGCTAGCCTAAAACCCTTAACCATGAAACCACTCGGGGGGCAACTTGCAACGCCAAGTAAGCCTCCGGGATCTACGCTGCGGCAGACCCGGAGATGGAGAAATGAATTCCTCTTCGCGTGAGGGCCCGCAAAGACATGCCCCAGAGTTTTGGACTTGGGGCTTTAAGAATTTAGGGCTTGGGGGTTTGAAGGTTTTAGGGTCTCCAGGGTCTGGGGCTTCATGGGTGTTAGGGTCGGAGTCCGTTAGCGCCGTGAAGGGTTCATGGTTTACTGTAGGGTTTAGAATTCGGGGCATACTGTGAAGATGCCCCCCCCCAAGGCTGTAACTATTCCCGACCCAAATCTTCTAAAGTTGCAGTATACTTTCCCTAGCAGCAACCCCTTTTTGAATTTAGGGTGGCCACTACTGAGAAGACAATGATGACTAGAAAATCGCTGTAAGAACCCACGGCCCAAGGCTCCAAAGAGGCCAGGAGATCAACCAAAAACCTGGGTCTGGGTCCGAAACCTGCGAACACTGAAACCCTGAAACTCTAGAACCCTAAACCTCGTGACACAGGGAGCAACGCCATTTGAAGGGTGGTTGCTTCGCTGTTCTTGGAACCATGCAAAAAGGTTGGGTGTAGGGCTTAGGGCTTCGGTCGCCCCTTATAAGTAGAACAGTTGAGTTTAGCGGAGACAGGGGGTTCAAGGTACCAGGGCACCACAAGCCTCACGGCTTTTTGGGGGGTTTGGGGTTTGGAACTTTAGGTTCACAGGTCTTAGGGTCTGGGTTTGTTTGTGTTTAGCTTCTGTCTATGGGCTTTTGCGGATCCGTGTGGTGTGTCATACATCGCCCGGAGGAGCCTCTGCCGAGAGTTGCGAGATGTTGCCAGCTCCAGTGCTTCTAGCGCTTAGGGCTTAGGGTTTAAGTAGAGTGTCGGGCGCTACTTCCTGGTTTTCAGTAGAGAAGTCAGGGATATAAGGTGCCCTGAAAGCGCTCTTTTCTGTAAGGTCCAGATGTCCGAACTCCCGTCTAAGAACCAGTGAGTAAGACTAGGGGCATCTTGCAAAGTAGGGTCCCGTCACCCCGCTAGAAGAGAGGGGAGGGGGTAGGTTAGAAGAATCTCCAAATCTACCAAACCGATTAGTTCAGGAGTATGCCGTAACGCCAGAACCCAGAACCTGCTTCTGATTTTTGGAACATTCCTAGAGATTTTGTAGGATCTGGGCGCACACACCCTAAGGCCTACAACCCTAAACACCTAGAGTCCCTAAAGCCAAAATCGGCTGTACAACTAGCCCCACACTCCCAAACCCTATACAAAGCCCTCCGAGCCCTGTAGTCTTCAAGCCGGAAAGCCGGCTGCTTCCCTTGCGCAGCTCTCTTTGGCAGTGGTCAGCCGAGCATTGAAAAAAGTCCACCTGAGTGCACTGGACAGGCTCGAGGCTTGGAGGGCTCTAAGACGCTTCCAGGGTTTTGGGTTGGGGACTCGGGGGTTCCGGTGTGGGGGCTAAACCTACAGAAAGCCTAAACCCTAAACCCAACACCCTCTCATCAGGGAAAGCTCCTTACAGCACCACTTGTACCAATACCAGAGAATAAGGACTCGAGCTGGGTCGCGGACGCAGTAAGGACCGTCAGGGCAATTTTGCCTGAGCAGCGTGAAGGCCCCCTGGTGTGCATGCGAACCTTCTCTCATTATGTAGGGTTTGGAAGAAGAGCGTGTCGGTGTTTGAGGGGTTTAGGGATTAAGCAATTACGCAACAAGAAGGCCCAAGAACCCATGAATGCAGAGATACCTTACAATATACTGGGATCCTTCGTAACCGGTAAACGTATGTTCTTTAGGGGTATTGGGCTCTGTGGGTAGCCCTGAGCTCTAAGCCCCAAGCCTTAAACCGGGTCTAGCCCTACTGAACCAGCCTGAGCATCCCTAAACTCTGAACCTTTAGCATCCGCAACCCTAAACCCTAAACCCTAAACCCCTAACAAGCACGTGGTTGCACGCCAAGCTGCGCCTGCCACATGCCGTTACCGTCCGCTGAGTCGAGATCCTGCCTGTGGTGTGGCTTCAAGGCAGGCGGGGGGGGGGGGGGGGGGGGGGGGGGGGGGGGGGGGGGGGGCTTAGGGATATGGGGTTCTTAAGGGTTCTTAGGGTTTATAGGAAGGGTTCTTGGGGTTTATAGGCATAGGGTTCTCAGGGCTCTTAGGGGTTTTAGGGCTTAGGGGTTGCGGGTTCTTAGGGTTTTTAGGGCTTAGGTTGAGGGACACTCTAAGCACAGCCGGGCCCACCTAAGGCAACATTCGTCTGAGAGCTCGTTCGTAGTACCACGGGATGTGCTGCACTGACCTCGGCATGTGTCGTCAGACTTGGGAATGCCTTTAAAGTTCAGAGCTATTTTTGAGGGTTTAGGGCTTGAGTTTTGGGTTTAGGGTTGGGGGCTTAGGAGGGTTTTGGGGCTGAGGGTCCTGGAATCCGGCTTCAGGGCTTTCACGGCTGAGGTCTTCTGGACGATTGGACTGCTGAGTGTTGGTGCACCTCTACTATTCAAGATTTCGGGTTTCGGGTGTCGGGCGCATCTGATCCCTTTCTGAGGCCGGGACTTCTTGGCCGCGAGCTCCGTCATTCGCTCCGGCAGGTCCTGCTTTAGGACCTCAGCTGCCACTTAGGCCAGGGAGATCCATGCACGGGAGCAGCCCTTAAGCCTAAACCCTAAGCCCAAGCCCTCAAACTTGGCCTTGAGGTCCCTTCACTTAAGTAGAGTTAGTGTGGGAATGGGGGCCCTCCTTGAAGGCGCTTTTTTTTCACCGACTGCACGAAGAACCATAAACTTCTCTACCGCGGCCGTAAGGTCTGGACTCTGTCGATCAAAGCGTTTCGCTTGACTGACTTCCGCTGCGCCTGCGAGCAAGGCATCGGAAGAGTCCACTTCTATTCTTCGGCTGGCTTAAGACTCGTTGTGCTAACATCACCTCTAATTCTACGAAGAAGATAGGACAGAACAGCATAACGACAAGCACGCTATACTAGTTTCCCTTGACCTAGGACAGGGTTCCATGCCCTGCTTTTCTTTTCAAGGTTTACAAGGGATTCCAACCCAAAAAACGACTATGATGAGGGTACTACAGGAGAATCCTAGTAGCCAAAGAACGAGCCACCCCTCGAATACGGAATATCACCCTAAACCAGAACATGGATCCCTGTATGGTTCAAAGTTCAAGGTACATTCCGCAATTAAGGCGTATTGGGCTATCTGGGTAAAGCCGGCTGCGAGGGCTTGAAACTCCGCGAGCTTTGCACTGTGGGGGAGGGAGGGGGGAGATTGTGGACGCGGGTTCTGAGACTTTCTTCAGGGCACAATAGTGGTACGACAGTGGTACCGAGGAGAGCAATAGTTGAGTACCATCATACTGGTGGCTATGCTGTGTCGGCCTGCAGCCCAAGGTCGAGGGGCTACGCTTTGCTCACAGACGTAGTCGGGTTAACCAAGGCTGGAGCTTCATCTAGGCAATCTAGGGTCAGTGCGCAACACTGTGCAGTCAGAGCCATCCCGCTGCCTCGAGCACCATGGATGCGCCAACCGTGCGGATGAGAGCACTTTGCATAAAGAAGTACTCCGTGTCCTTGGATATGTTTCAAGACATGAGGCACGCACAACCCCCCAATGGACATGAATCTTGCCCTGCTTGAACGAGTACCCCAACGCAACCCAGCTGTATCTCATGACTTTCCCCTTGCAAATCCGACGGTTAGACTTCGTTAAGTTGCTCTTATCCATGAAGCCCTAGAACTCGCAAACTCTGCTCCCTAACACCTCCTGAACTCAACGGACAGATCCTGGGCCGTTCAATACACCCCATAAACCCTGAACCCCTAAGCCCCCCGACCCCATGCAAATTACCCCCTAAACCCCAAACGCTGCAAACCCTTAAGAACTTGAGCTTTTAAAACATCTGAAGAACTTATTTAACAGGAAAATGAACCCCAAGCCCCAAGCCCGCAAACCAATAACTCAAACCCCTGAACTCCAAGCCCTAAGACCCTGCAACCCTCAAACCCTGCAACCCTAAACCCCAATAACTCTGAAACCCCAAAGCCTGGAAACCCAAAACTGCCCTACAAACCCCTACGGAAACCTGAACCCTGAAAAATAACCCTGCCCAGGACCCCCCTGTTTCTACTCGTGCCGAAGGGCCCCAAAGTTGTTATCGCTGCCGGCACTTCGGGGGCTCTCCCTCGGCGGCGGCACCTGGTTTATGGGGTGAGGCATCCAAGGGCTTTGAGGGCTTCAAGGCCTTTAGGGTCTTTTAGGGGTACAAGGGGTAGAAGGGTTTAAGCTTTCAGGGCTTTGAGGGCTTTGAGGGCTTTAAGCGCTGTCAGAGTTTGCACAGCGGGGCTTGTAATGGATTGTAAGGGGGTTTGTAAGGGTTTGTAAGGGTTTGTAAGGGTTTGTAAGGGCTTAAGGATCCCTACACCCAAGTTGAAGGCTCAACATTCACAGCATGCCCCCGCCCCCCCCCTCCAAAAAAAAAGAAAGCAATAAAAAGAACAAAGAGAGGCACATTTCAAGAAGAGCCCCCGCGCCTTGTCTATGAAGCCTCTGGAGACCAGCTTCCTGGTCGCTCTAAACAAGCGCAGCCTCAGCTCTCAGTGCCGTGTGCGTTCAAGCGTTCAAGCTAAATGTGGTGTGGGCGTTTTCGGGTTAGGGTTTAGGGTTTAGGGTTTAGGGTTTAGGATTTAGGGTTTAGGGTTTAGGGTTTAGGGTTTAGGGTTTAGGGTTTAGGGTTTAGGGTTTAGGGTTTAGGGTTTAGGGTAGGGCTTAGGGTTTAGGGTTTAGGGTCTAGCGTTTGGGGTTCAAGGCTTCGGGATTGGGGCTCGTCATCCCTAGACCGGCACTGCACTCTGACTGGCAAGCCCTGCAGGAGCGCACATCTGCGAAAGCTTTGACCACACCATCCAAGCTAGGAGAGCCCAATATCCCTTAGTTCAGGAAGATGCCTTGAACCATATAGGGATCCTGAGACGGCTTCATATTCCTTAGTTAAAGATTCTTGGGCTAGCCTGCGAGAACTCCAAGGCCATCTTCCCATCCCCCTTGGGCGGAGGCAAGTCAAAGTGCGTCGACCCGCCCCACTGGGAGCAGTTGCCTCAACCGGCAGACAAGTCTCTGAGATTGCTTGCACAAGGCATCGGAAAGGGTGTTGCTGTTAGACACAAGGAAACCATAACCAGATTCCGCATTGTGGTAACTCAATGTCGTCGCTTAACAGCAATCCATTCAAACGGGTCGAATCACGAAAAAGCACAAAAAAAAGTAAATCGACAGCGACTGGGGCCCGCACTTGCTGCCAAATCTGGGAGCGTGAATGGCCCTTCGAAGCAGGTGGACATCTTCAGCGCCGCCATCTGCAACGGGGAAATGGGCTCTGGGCTTAAAATGGGCTCAGGGCACGGAGCCAACAAGGGTTTAGCCTGGCGGGTTTAGAGCTTACGCTCTACCCTCGGCAATCCTCCGTGGGAAAGGCCTCGGCTGACCGGGATTCCTGAGCTCCCGGAGCCCCGAAGCGAAGAGTTGAAGAACACAAAGTCATCAACACCCTTCCCCCTCCCCACCCTTGCACCCTACGCCCCTAAACCCTTAACCTGAACCCCCAGAACCCCGAAACCCTTCTCGCCTCGATGGGATCCAGGGACTCGATGTTGCAGACTGTGCCGCCCACCATGGCTGTGTGGTTCCAGGCCTGGGTTTCTGGAGGTTTCAAAGGTAGTTGGGATAGTTAGGGATAGTTGGGGTAGCTGGGGTAGTTCGGGTAGGGCAGTTGGCGTAAAATTCGGGCAGTTGGGGTTTTAAATTCGGGCTTAACGTTGAGGGCTTTGGGATTGAGGGCTTGAGGGCTTATGGTACAAGCTAAGGGACCACCCCGCCGCGAACTCCTGAAGTCTGTTTGATTGCTGAAATGTGTGGCTGCACGTGCCAGCCGATTAGGGAAGAAGGATAGCTGTGGTGACAATCGCCTCACCCAACTACCAAAACCCAAAAAGCTCTTCTCTAAACCTCATAGGCGAATCTACTCATTGGTAGTTAAATAAGCGGTGAATGGCCACTGTACTTATAACCCTGTTCAGGGAACTTCTGACCCTACGTATAGCTACCCATGAACCTCCAAGTAATACATTATGGGGGGCCATTCTGGGGTGGAGGCAAGTGCTGCTAGACCTCCTTCAACGAAGCACCCAGCTCTTGCGATTCCCCAACCCGCAAGCTCCGGACGGAGATGTCTATCTTCTCGAGCGCCCCGATCAAGGTCGCTGAGGTACCAGCTTTCACCTACGGCGTTAGGGAGGGGGGTGAGGAGTGGGGCTGGGGAGGGGGGGGGGGGGGTTGTTGTTTTCGCAAAAATGATTGATTTTCAGCTGGCATCCTTAATGGCTAATGGCAATTTTACTTGTGTTCCGCAACAGCAACCTTAGGGCTTTCAGAAGTTCAGGCATGAGGGCTTAGGGTTCGAGGTTTGCTGGGGACACGCATTCAAGGTCCGGCGCTGGGGTATCGGGCTTAGAGGGGTTCATTGGGCGTCGGCACGAAAACCTGAACCCTAAGACACGAAATCCTGAAACCACTAACCCTTTAGAACTTAAAAAAACTTAGCGACCCTAAGCCCCTGGTTAAACCCTGGATTGAAGAGAACAAAAGTGCCTTGAGCACGTTCTCCTCGCTAAGCTGGTCCAAAGTTTCACGGATGTACAGTGGATTGCCCATTGTCACCTGCAAAAGGGCTTAGGGTGCAGATTTTCACGATTAGGGTATATGAGGGCTTGCTTGAAGTTCGGGTCCTTCGCGCGTGCTGGTGTGTGAGCGTGTGCGTGTGAGTGGGAGTGTGCGTGCGCGTGCGCTTGCGCGTGCGTGCACGTGCGCATGCGCGCGCGTTGGCGTGCGTGTGCGTGCGCATGTGCGTGTGTGTAGGGTGTGAGGGGTTCGGGCCTTTAGAGCAGGATGAGGGTTTTGGGCCTGGGGCTCAATGTAGAGATGTTGGGGGCGGGGTTATGTACCTGTATAGTCGGTTTCGGGTTGAGGGATCAGGGTACATAGGGAGGTCTGGAGTCCCCCTTGTACGCATGGGTAGCCATGGGCCTTATAACCCCAATGAAACCCGTCACCAAACAGGCCCAGAGAGCCTCAGCTCAACCGGAGAACCTAAAAGCTGAACACCCTGAAGACCCTTAACCCTGAACCCAAAACCCTAAACCCTAACACCACACTGCCCCAACTCATGGGGTCCTGGGCTCCCCTGGGTGCGCAGTCTAGCTTCGGGCCTGCGAGACAAAACGTCTGAGCGGTGGTGGCACGGCTTCCTCCGGGATGCCCAGGTAGTTTGCCATGTACTCAAGGATGTGCTCTTCCTGGGCTTTTTTAGGGGGGCATTCAGGGCGTTTAGGGATTCGGCTTCGGGTTGAGGCTTCGGGGGCTTGTTTCTGTGCGCTAAAAGCCACTGTTGCAAACAGATGGCGGCTACCTCCATACCATGGGCACGCCGGTCCGACCCAGGGTAAGATTACCCAATGCGAAGCTCTAAGTCGACTGTCACGAAACCATCAACCGCAACAGAACTCTCAACAGACCTCAAAGCCTAAAACTTATCTCGATACCCTTAGCAAAACCCCAAACCTAACCCTAAAAGCCCCTAGTCTTTGTGTCGAAACCCCAAGCCCTTGACCTTAGAAGAAAGTGCAAGCCATGGGTCGTTCAGGCCCTTGAGGGTGAGCAATGTCCCGGCTGCAGCGGCATCTTTGACACACTGCTGGTCGTACCGTGCCTGGGTGCCCAGCTTACGTTTTAGGCAGGGGCTCAAGGGGGCCTTAAATTGCAGGGCAGGGTACAGAGCCATAAGCTTCTGGGTTTGGGGTTCTGGGTTCAGGGATTAGGGTTGTTCAAGGTGCACCGTCTCAGGTCGGAGTTCGGGCTTTGATCACAAAAAAACGCCTCCCGCACCAGCACCAGGCCGGAGATGGACCGCTCCTAGCCAAAGAGTCGCGCTTCCGTGGCAGCAGAGGTGCCCTATGCCCTAAAGCTCCAGACGCGGGAGTTATCCAAAATGCTCTTGGCCTCCAACCCGAAGCTCATACGAAATCCTGAGCCCTAAGCCCTTAGAGAAAAAGAGAGCCTGGCCTTGGCGATGAGGATGCTCAGCTCGGAGGTAAACCTCCAGAAGATGGCCTGGAGACGGGTCGTTTCCTAAATTGTGGTCCCAACTTAAGCGGCACACTTAAGGGAAGGTATCGAAGAAAAGGGACCATATTTCAGGGACATACAGGGTTTTGGGTTTAGGGTTTAGGGGTTCAGGGGTTTAGGGGTTTAGGGGTTTGGTTTTCGTGTTGTTTGGTCCAAATTATGGACCTTTTTTGGTGCCCGAACCTATAAGGACCATACTCTAGTGGAGAGCCCGTAGGGCTTGACAAAGGAGGATTGCAGCTGCTCAAAGGAATCCTGTTCAAACATCAACTGGGGATATATGTGTCTGAGCCATGGCAGCCTGCTGTTGAAAGGCTACTACAAGCTTGCTACACATATGAAGGTGGCTACATCCTTTTAGGGGCGCGATGGTATCCGGTATCGCAGGTAGCCCCTTCAACCACGGTACCCCCCCCCCCCCTGTCTGTGGGGGCTTATGGTGTTGATTTCGTTGTTCAACATGCGGCTTCCTAAACCCTATACGCTTAACAAAGCCCTTAAACCATATGCCAAAAGAATCCCAAGGTCGCTTCGACGCTCAGCTGCAGACTAAGTCATCTTTGGCGGTCTTCTCGAAGAGGCTCGTCCCCTGAGATTGGGATCTGCGGAGATCCGACGGCTCCGCCCTTCTATTCCAACGTCAACATCCTGAACCAACGGGTTAAGCTCTATCGGTCCAGGTTTGAGGGTTGGGGGCCCCTAAGCCCAAAGCTGGATGTTTCTGACAACCCGAACCCTAAACCGCCCGGGCCTGCTCGAACTGCAGCACGACCAAAGTTCCTGCAAGAACTTGGGTTGAACGTGTAGGCTTGAGGGTTCAAGGTCTTGTGGTCTAAGGCTTCAAGGTGTTGGGGTTTGGGGTTCAGAGTGTCTGGGTTTAAGGGTGTTGGGGTTTAAGGCTTACGGTGTAGAGCTTAAGGCGTAAAGTGTTCCAGGTGTCTATTGCAAAAAATTATTACTGTAAAGCCGCACATCACCTAAACCCCAAAACCCTGGTTGGTCCTGACTTGTTCTTGAGGCCAGCGAGAAGGGAGATGATCACCTGCATCAAATGCGGAGCCGACGATCCAATGGGCTTGGTTGAAGTTTTGGGGTTTTAGGATCAAGCAAATAATCCCCCTTTTTTGCGGGGGTGGGGTGGTCCTTTTGTGGGGGTCCGGCTTGGTGTCCTATGATCCAAGGCCATCCACCTACTGTTGGAAGAAAGGGAAACCCTCAACCCTTATCCCCAATGCCTCGCCTTCAGGGCCACCTCCAAGACAGCCGCCGTATCTTCCAAGGTCCGGTTTGAAAGCAGGATCTTGAGCATGTCCAGACTTCCGGCCTCAGGGCCCCCAAGCTGCTGTAGTCCTAAGCCCCTAAAGCCGATGCTCAACGCTTCAAAGCCCCATGCTGCAGGTCCCTGCGCGTCCCGGGCTGCGGGCATACTGGGACGGAATCAGCTTTGCCAGTGCCTCACGACAGCCACGCATTTATCAGGGTCTTGGGGGGTGGGGCAAGGTAGTTGAGGGCTTTGGGTTTTCAGGCTTGAGGGACAAGAAACCACCGGAACACAAACGCATCTCGCGCCAAGGGAGGCAGTGGCTAGCAGCGAGCATGACACACACACACACACACACACACACACACACACACACACACACACCCATGCAGAGACTAAAATGTACTGAGGGATATTCCGGAAATTATTGTCACAGTCCCTGCGATATTCCGCGGACTACCCTTTACGAGTTTCATGGTCTGGGCTGCAAGAAATGCCTGCACATCGTCGGCCGGAGTAGCCGGATTCTGTGTGCGATAGACCGCGACCTGAGAAGGGTTTAGGGTTGAGGTTTAGGGCTTTTGGGTTACTCCAAAGCGCAGTCTGCACACCAAGAGAAGCCTGAACCCTTACACCCTCAGCCCTCAAACCATAACACCCAAAAGCTTGAATCCCAAAGCACCCGAAACCCTGAACCCCGAAGTCTCGATTCGGTCCTTCAGGCTTCTTGAAACGTGGTTTTTAGGTTTCTTTTTCTGGGGCCTTGAGGGCGGCCAGGCTTCGAAACCCCAACCCAAAAACTGCCCTAAACCACCCTAAACTACCTTTTACAGACCCTAAGCCCTGAACTAAATCCAAAAGCCCTGGACGCCAAACCGCCGGAAACAAGAAGGGCGCCCCTGCCAAGCTCCGCAGCAGCTCCACCGCCATGCGTGTCGACTCCCCTGGCCTCGCGCAAGGGTCTGGTTTTGGCCCCCGAAAACCTAACCCTTGGCCCTCAGGAAGGTTCTTGAGAGAGAGTGGCCCTGAGACCCTCTACACCCAACACTTTCAACTGGAAAACCTCCCTCCCCAGACCCTCGTGTAGCCTTTGAGATATTCTGAATACCCTCAGAAACTTGAAATCCAAGATCCTAAGCCCCAAACCCTGAACCCCAAACCCCAGGCGGCACTTGTGGGCATTTCTTTGAATTCTGGTCCCTTGTTTGGATCCCTAAAGAAAGGCGCCACCTTTATGTGGGGGTCCTACTTCTAGAGAACCCCCCACTGAGGAAAATCTGACAGCCACGTGCTTGGAGGCCACACCGTGGGCCCATCGTACCGAAGACCGGCATCGTCTGAAACCTGGGGGAGGGGCTCGGGCTGTAAGTAAGAGTCCCCTTTTGTTTGGAGGGGGGGGGAGTTCGGGCTTTAGGGTTTAGGGTACTTCGGGTTTAGGATTTAGGTTTAGGGCTTAGGGCGATGCCGTCTGGGATTTCGAGTTAGTGTCTTGGGCGCTGCACTCGAGGGGTGATCTGAATTTGGGACCGCCACGTTTGCATGAAAGATGCAGGGTTGAGGGCCCCCTTTGCAGTTCAGGGCACCAAAGAAGGCCCATGATTTAGATTTAGATCAATACCCACTTCGGGGAGTCTGCCCGAGCCGAGCACTGCAACGCGCAGTGAGTCGCAATGTGCTCTGCAAGCTCGATTTTTCCGAGACCTGAGAACATTTCACACGGTTTCGGCTTTGCCTACATCCTGGGCTTGTTCGGGTGCCCAAGGCCATTAAAATAAGTCAACCACCTACCACGTGACACAACAAGCCCACGTCTTGTTCTCAGCTCCTGACCAGTCGCTCCCTCAATCACGACCAAGCCTCCCTCGGCGAAGGGGCTGTTTGCCGGAGCCTGCAGGGTATTGAACTCTAAGGTCTGAGGGGTTAGGGTTTAGCTCGCACCCTGCCTTCATGCGAGGTGTTGGCGTGGAGGCCCCCACAACTTGATCCGGCGAGTGCAAGGCCTCACAGCGGTTTAAGGTATGGGTGTGGCGGGGTTTCAGCGCGCCCCCCAGAACTCACATGGAGAGGGAGAGGAGGAGGTATTTGTTGTTCTTCCTTGCTTGGAAACTCTATCTAAACAGGGTCAGGCCGATCCAAAATTCTGGGCCCTGGTTGGACTGAAGCGTTGTTGGTGCGTCTACACCAAGCAGTTTAGGGCTCAGGCCGCTATCGGGTTTAGGGTTTAGGGGATCTAAACGAAAAGAAAAAACTTCCTCAAAAGCCGGCGCTCTGGATGGACACCCGGGAACGGTTCCCCGAAAGCCCGGTGTAGCAACAGTAACACAGTTAATGCGTTTGTTTAATCAAAAGCAATGGTACGAAGAAGTAGTAGCAGTAGCAGCAGCAGTAGTAGGAGCAGCAGAAGCACCAGCAGCAGCAATCGTAATAACGACAATGGTAATAAAAAAATGAACAATAATCGTTTCGAAAAAACACAGCCCAAAACATAAGCCCCCTGAATCCTCAACACTCGACACCACAACCCTTAACCCCAAGTGGGGACAGCATCTTCCAGGGGGTTTGCAGGGGCCTTGCTGAAGGGGCTTCCCAGCATCTCTGCCACTTTCATGTTTGGCGGCCACTTCTGTATGGAGCAGAGGCTCTGCACCTCGGCTCCGGCATCTTCAGGGCTCAGGGGGACCTGAGGGGGCTTAGGGGATCCGAAGCCCTAAACCCTAAACCCTAAACCCTAAACCCCTCGGGCTTCGCGCCTTTCCCTTGGCGGTGGCCATGGCATCCCTGGAGTTCAGGGTGGAGCCATCCAGGAGGTTGTCCTGAAAGACGGCGCCCAGAATGACCCCCCCAATATGATCAGGGGTTTGGGGTTTAGGGTTTCGGGTTTGGGGTTTAGGGTTGGGGTTTAGGGTTTTAGGTTTTAGGTTTTAGGGTTTAGGGTTTAGGGTTTAGGGTTTAGGGTTTAGGGTTTAGGGTTTAGGGTTTAGGGTTTAGGGTTTAGGGTTTAGGGTTTAGGGTTTAGGGTTTAGGGTTTAGGGTTTAGGGTTTAGGGTTTAGGTGACCCCAAGATGAGGGAGCATTCCTTCATGAGTTTCTGGCGATACTGTGGGAGTGGCGGTGTGTGGTGCTGGGGGTTCCACGCACTGATCATTAGCGGACCCACCTGCCACTTTGCATGGTGGGCAGGTGCCCCTAAAGTCTGAGGCAGGCCCGTAAACCCCTAAACCCCAAAACCCCTTGAACCCTAAACCCTTTAACCCCTAAACCCTCAACTGCTCTAAAAACACCCAAAACACCAACCCCTAAACCCCAACCCACCCAACATTCTCATCCTAAACCACCCCAACAATTCACCTAAACCCGCCCTCTTTACATGGCCGAGGCGGGGACGTACCAGGGAAACCGGATCTTCCGATCCGCCGTGATGCCTTGGGGAATCGAAGCTGGCAGGGCTTTAAGGCTTCGGAGTCAGGAGGCTTGGGGTTTGGGGTTTCGGGATTTCGGGGGCCTGCTTGGGGTTTAAGGGTCACTAGCGAAGGCTTTGGGTGACCCTGCCGGAACCACGAATTTCCTTGAAGTTTGGGGGTTCTGGGCAAGTTTAGGGTAAGTTTAGGCGCGGCACCGACAGCCACGGCGCCCTCTCTCAGCGTCGGCTGAAAGATTGAGATGGGGTTTGTCTTGCCCTTCACCTGCACCAGAACGCTGCATCTCTTGCAATAAGCCTCTGATTCGGCAGCTGCTGTCTCTCCAGAGTGTTCCCCCCCCTTGAACAGATCCCCTGAAGGCCTTGATCGGCGCGAGGGGTTTGAAGTCTATCTCGCCTGTTCAGCAACAATGACATGAGGGAAACATGAGAACTTCCATACTCCCTTCTACCCGATTCTACCCCAAATCCAAGATACAAAAAAACTCAAACCTCCTGAAGCCCCAAAGCCATAAAGCCCTTAAGCACCACAAGAAACTCCAAAACCTCTACAAAACCCTAGAAACTAACCCGGCGCCTGTGGAATGCTTGCTCGTCTCCTCGTCGGTCAGAACGCCCAAGGGCGGAGCGTTCGCCTGTCACAACCCTAAACCCTAAACACAGGGCTTCCAAACTAGCTCATTTCAGGACTACTGCCTGAGTTTGGGGTTGGGGCTATAGGGGCAAAAGGGATGTAGGGTTCACAACTCTAGGGGCCTCAGGGGTTTAAGCCCTTAGGCTTGCGTGGCTTCAAACAGGGTTGAAAGGCTCGGGGTTGAGGGTTTAGGGGGGGATTGCATCAGGAGCCAAAGTCGGCTGCACTCAATAACCATGACGGGCATGCCATCAACCGCGCTGACAAGTTCACGCAGTCGCCAAGCACCTGCCAGTCAGTCGAACAGCTACACAACCAAGACTGGTCTCACAAAAACACGCTGTGATATGCCTCACCCAACATCCCAAACACCTCACACTGCCATTGGCAATCCGAGGGGCTGTGTACTCCATGCGCTTGGCACTTCCGCACACCTTATACGGTTGATGCCCACACAAGATAAGGAACTGAAGCCTACTGCAAAACGATCACGACCCCCAGCGTCCCCAGGCCGGGTCCCTCACTCCACAGTAGCTTCGGCCCGTGGTGACACCGAAGCGTCCGATGAGGTCCATCCTCTTGAAGACCTGGCGTTTGGGACTTTATGGAGTGCTGAGGCGTTTCTTTCATTCTCAGGAGCCTGGACCAGCTCCATGCTGGCAAGAACAGCTCGCGCAGGATCATCAGGGTGCACCAAGGGCGGCAGGCCGAACACCAGCAGGAAGAGCCTAAGGAATTGTATCATGAGGATAACAGCGCCGAGCAAGGTCAGAACAGCATAGTGAGCAGCAGCCCTCTGCCCGCTGTGGCCAATGAGGCAAGTGCATGCCCTTGTCGTCAATGAGGAACTTGTTCAAGGTTCCCTCGTGCGCGTAGCATACCTTCTGCACCTCGACGGCGACATGAAAACTCGCAACCACCATCAACCCAAGAACCTCCACCCTACACCTCGAACCTAAAACCCTAGATGATGACGCTCACATAGCCAGCTACAGTCTGGCGGTGTGAACCTCGGACCCTCTCCACCTGGGTCCCCTTAACCCAGGGCGACCCTGAACCCCAAACCCCGACTGGGGCGACAACCGAAGACATGAGCTCTTGAGCTTGGGCTGGACCGGTGGACGACATCACCTGGTTTGCAAGGCTTGAGGTATTCATGTTTATCCCTGACCTCAGGCTCAGGGTTCAGGGTGTGCCGATAGGCCCATGAGGGCTTTTGAAATCTGGCCACGGCCGTGTCGCCAGAGGTGACTATCCATGCCGCCGACCCGCCCTGGAAACAACTTGGGGCTCTGGCTCCTCCGGAAGGCTTCATTGTTCACATGCGTTTCTTAAACTTGCCACCGAGGCCTTGAGAAACAGGGGCGAATCATCCGTTTATTTTCGGACACATAAAGTGAAGTTTGTTGGGGGAAGTGTAGACAATGCTGTTTCTTTTCCCGTTGTATACCGAGGTTTCACCCTTCTCTCGACGCAGTGTTCGGAGCCTCCGTCCCAACAGGGGTGCCCAAGGTGTGCGTCCTCCGCCCCTCGTTTCACGGGCATCAGTGACATTGGCATGGCAGGCTGGCAGCTGCTTCACCGCCCCTCAGTCCCAGCGTCGCCCCAAAGATGCCCATCATCTACGTCCGTGGCTCGATGTTGCATATCATTGACCCTTCATCCCTTCCTCAAGTCATGAGACGTGCATCAGCGGCATCAGCGGGTTGGCTGGGGTTCGGGTCGATGAAACAAATCCACCTACAAGGTCAGCTACTGCGAGCAGGCATCAAGCAGCGCATGCGCGCGAACGGGAGCTTCACTGCGAGTCGTGATTGAATCTGTCTTGATGCTATTTGCTATTGCGATTTTCATGTTTAGTTCTTTTTGTTATTCATACTATTATTTCTTATAGTATCTGCATGTCTAGGCTTGTTCTGCATCTACCTTTGCTACTGTTGTTTTCATTGTTGTTAGAAATGTTATGCTCGGCTGGTTCCTATTACTATTGGTGATATTGCTTGTTCCTCCTGCTGCTGGTGTTGCTGTTGTTGCTGTCGCCGATCTTACTGCTAGAGATGTGTCAGCATTTTACATTTGCATGTTGCATGCTGATTGGCACATGGCTGTGTGCATTTAGTTTTGGACTTGGACTTGCATTCTTGTGTGAACTTGTGTTTGTGTTGTGTGGTTGAGTGCAAATTTGTGCTTGTGTGTGTGTGTGTTTGATTCTGTATGTGCGTGTGCATGTGTACTTGCACTTCAATCTGTTGGGAGCCCCATTTCCTCGAACATATCAGTTATCTTGCAACTCTGCAAGGTTCCGTTCGACCAGTCCTCCTGTGAAAGCAGATACTTACTAGAACTCAAGTCAAGCCAAGCTTTCGTGATAATTACGGTCATAATTTATATACACAATGTGGCGCATTGGATTCTCTTAAACCCAACCAGATGAGCGGCATCCAAGCCGGAACCGTTGATGAAGATGACGGAGATGTTGCCTGAGCCCCCAACATCAAGCTAAAGGGCTAAGGGTTGAGGATTCAGGGCTAAGGTCTAACAGCCTTGAGGGGTTTAGAGTTTAGGGTTCAGCAACTAGGCAGAGGTTTACGGTTCTCGGTTCAGGTCTGACGTGGTTTGGAGACTAGCACCCAGCTCAAACCAAACGGAGACACGCAGGCTGCAACAATGTGTCAGACCTAAAAACTGCAAAACCCCCAAACCCTTGCAGCTTGAATAAGACGGAACCGATTAAACTGACGGTCGTAAGAGGAAGTTGATAAAGTGTACTGCAATTATAATTACGGGCTCCCTGGGCAAGATTCGTGCTCCCGGGGCCAAAAGAGGAACAAGCTTGCAGTACGCCCAAGCCATCCCAAGCCCATCTCACAACAGCCTGTGGCCTACCTGGGTAACTCGCCTGTGCTTGGTTCTCTCGGCTTGGAGATTACTAGTCTGTGTAGGGTTTAGGTTTTTGGGCTTCGGCTAAATAAGCATTTGGGGTTTGGTTTAGGGTGTTGATAGGTTTTCGGGTGTTCGTTTGTTCTCTCATCGGCCAAGTCACGCATCTCGTTGACATACTGAAGGGTGCCGCACTCGATCTGTTTGAAGACAGCTGACGGGATGTACCGCCTGTTCAGCAACGATCGAGCGAATGAACAGGCCTAAGCACACCTGCCACTGAACTCCAAACCCCCTAAGCACTCAACACCAGCTTCAGCGGCCTTGTGATGTTGAGCTGGTCCAGCTTGAAGCAGTTCTCAACGCGTGTGTCATAGAGCTGCGTGGCGTACTTGATCGTCGGAAAAGTATACTTTGACTCATCCTCGCGGCCAATCATGGGCGTGGGGTTGCTGCGCCGAGATCGAAGCATGAACTTTAAATCAAAGTAAGCGGCCAACGCGGCGCAAAGAAAAGCCCGACGACCCTAAACAGCCCTAAGCCTACATTCTTGAGTGTCTCAACCTTAAGCCTAAACCCGAAACCCTAGACCCCAAACCCTAGATGCCACCCCCGCAACTGCCCCCAACCCCCCAAGTGGGATCTGGGCTGCGAGCCATTCGCAGCAGCAGGTGGAAGTCCATGCGGTCCTGGCAAAAGATTCGGGGTTTAGGGTCGAGTGCCTACGGTTTAAGCTCTGCTGCGTTAGGTCTCGGGATGTTGGGGTGCAGGATGCAGGGTTTATGGGTTTTGGGAGGTTGAAACCTTATCCCCTAGACCCTACAACCCTAAACCCTCAACTCTACTGCCCACCGCACCGAAACCCTCAACCAGGCACTCGGGCTGGGAGGCGTATGTAGAGCATCTAAAAAAAGGGCATCAACCTACACCCCCTAAGCCCTAAACCCTAAATTCTAAACCCTACACCGCCCTACACCCCAAACCCTGAACCCTCGGGTGGTACCCCAAATAAGGACCATGATGTAGAGAACTGCCGCCACGTCCTCCAACGGTCGGCCCTCGATGACGCAGTCCTTAACAAGCTCCCACGCCTGACGACCGGCAGTTTGGGTTCGGAATGGTTCGGAGCTCAGGGGTCAAGAGTTCATGGGTTCATGGGCTCATGGGTTCATGGGTTCATGGGTTCAAGGGGTTCAAGGGTTCAAGGGTTCAGGGCTTGGGGCTTGCTTGGTGTATAATTTAAGGTGTTCAGGGTTAGTCGAAGTTGGGTTCAGGGTTGGGGATTCATGGGTGGTTTGGGCCTTAATGCCCCTGGACGCCCAGATAGAAGCCCCTCGCGCAGCTGGTCGGGATATCTGCTAATGCTTATCTAAAATTCTCCAAACATCTATCCTAACCAAGATGAGTTCACAGGTCTGAAACAAGATTCTCAAAGTGTGATGGGCAACATCACAAAAAGTCTTCAAAAGAATGCAGGAGGTCTAATTCATCTTTAGGTTTGAATAAACATGAATGCTCACACAGTAAAGAGTCAGGAAAGGCATTTATATTACAACGTTGACAGTGATTGGAATGCAAGGATGAGAGTCCCCCTTCTACCATCATTGAAACCAAATGCTTGTTCAAGCTTGCCAACCCAGCCAATACTTAATGTTGCCTTGTTAAATCGATAATGTTTGTAGAATTCTCTTCTTCTTCAACTTTCCATGAAACAGCCTGCCTAAAGCTTCTTCACGCCTTGTTAAACCAAGCTAGCTTAAAAACATGTTTTTAACTCCCTATTGTCCTGAGACAACCGATAGTGAATCCTAAAGATCCGTTCAGAGGCGCTTTGCGACAGACCCAAGGGTCGGGTCACAAAACCCCCACCAAAAAAATAAGACTAAATAAATAATCAAAAACGGAATTTCCAAAACTTGCGGCAGGGTATAGGGTCTTGCAGGGCTTAGGATTTAGGCTTTGCGGGATTCAAAGGCAAGGGAACCCAGAAGCCTGAAAACCTAAGCCCTCACTCCTCAGTCCCAGGCCAAGACCCCAAACTGAAATTGGGTTTAGGGTTTAGGGTTTAGATGGGTTTAGGGTTTAGGGCAGCCCGACCTCTAAAACACACAAAGTAAACCACATAGAAACTAAACTCTACAACCCCAAGCCCGAAAATGCCCCAAGAGTTGGCTGCGGCAGCTGATTTGAACAAAACAGTAGGGATCCCGTGAACCCTAAAATGGCCCAGGGTTTTAGGGTATTCAGGTCCACCCGTGCCGCGGCCTGAGGGCTGAGACACGTCTCTCCGTTCTTGGCCAGAGGCTCTGCCTCATGGGGCTTGGGGGGTTTATGGCTTTCGAGTGTAGGGTCTATGGGTTTAGGGCTTTAGGGTGGCGGTATGGCTTTCTACACGAAGCTGCTACCATAACCTACCACCGTATCCTAAATCTGCGAGCATGGCGGTATGCCTGAACCTAGAACAAGCCCTAAAGCAAAGGACAAGGCAGACAGATGCGCTGAGGTTCGCGCAATAGAGATCTGCTCCAGCGGCGCCCCCGAGATCAAATACTCTATCCTGGCATCACCATGTGAGGTGAAACCCTGCCCAAGTGCTCACGCGCATGATTTCGGACACGTGGAGAGGCGGGTAGGTGTGTGTGTGTGTGTGTATACAGAAATGTATTGCAAACATAGAATCATCTCTTCACAACACCGATGTTGGTTTTGATATTCGTGTTCATGCTCATAAGTGCACCCATACTCATATTTATCTGCTTGTTGAAGAAAGAACAGCTCTGCTCAACGGCGGTTGAAGACATTGGCAGGACACATCGATGTTGGGGCTTGAGCCTTGGACCTGTAAACCCTACCCAGAGGAACATCTCCTCAAGCCATAGAAGGGATCCTCACATGTTTTTAAGATTATTCTTCACTTCACGGGTACTGGAGTCCTTGGCTCAAGCTAAACCCTAGCTGAATCTTCTGCGGGAAGGGCGAATGCCCAGAAGCAAGGGTAAAGGGTCTAGGTTATAGGGTTATCCAACCCTGAGCCGAAATTCCAAAGCTGAAACAGGCCTTGGGATGTGAGTCTCAGGCGGGACGATACCACCGACCTGGCATAAGAAAGAAGCGTTTCGGGCCTTCGGTGGAATGTTACACCCGCCCTAATGCTTGTGGGGAGCCTATACTACCCAGGATTTGTGTTGGTTTAAGGATGAAGGTCGAGGGGTTCGCCAAACAATACCCAAATCGAAGGGGGCATAGAGGGCTTGGGGTTGTAAGGGTTTAGGGTTTGAGTGTTTTATGTGTTTAGGGTTTATCGTACAGGCTTGGGGTTTTCGGGTGCTTTGGGATCTTAGGCTAAGGATCTCTGTTCTAGGGTCTACGGTCAAAGGCTGAGGGTTTCTAGCGGCTAAGACGTCGGGATCTTAGGGGCTTGCATGTATTGGGTTGAGGGCAGGATTTAGTGGGGGTGCAGGTTTTAGCATTTCCGGCTTTGGTGTCCAGAGTTTAGGGTTTTGGGTTTAGAGCTTGGGGTTCAGAGTTTCGGGTTTGGGGCTTAGAGCTTGGGAGTTAGTTCGGAGCTTTGGCGGGTTGTAAGGCTTTGGTGTCCCCAAACCCCCAAACTCTACACGCCACACCCCCAACCCCAAGCCCTAAACCCCCCAAATGCCCCCCCAAACCAGCCTGAAGGATGCTAATCTCACCGCAGCCAACGCCGATGTGCAAGCAAAGCCGAACATCATCGACGCCTCGTTGTGCCCACAAAGGAGGGTCATAACACAGGCCGTGCCGAGGCGCAAACCTAAGGAATGCTAAGGGTGCCCTTTCTGGTTGGACGGGCTTCTAAGGGAACCAACCCGTAAAAAAAGCGAATAAGGACCCACTCCTCCGGGTGTTAAGACCCTGGTTTTTTAGGGTTTAGGGCTTTTACAAAGGCCCTAGAGAAGGGGTTTGAGGGGATTCGGGGAAGTTGAGAGGCTGTTTGGGTCGGACTCCCTGACACCATCCCCTAAACCCTATAAAAACCCCTTTACCGCCCGCCTGTTTCAAACATATGCAGCCGCTTGTGGATTTCGATGCAGCAGGCTGACCTGAGAGAGGGAGAACCGACAAGGAGAACATGACCCAAAACACATGGCCCAAGCTCCCCACGCCCGCAGGACGGCCGTCGCCATTGGCCCTGCACCGGGCATAAAACATCTTCCACAAACGGGGGGGGGTTTATGGTTTTAAGGGTTCCTGGGATGCTGTCAAGGAGCTATACTCTTTCTTATATAACACAAACAAATACATCGTGTGGCTCTCTTATTCTGGCCACTCGCTTATCTTTCTTTACGCTTCTGAGTAGCAAAACCAAGTTGAGGGTTTTCGGAGGGTGCGCGCGCCGAGATCCGCGAGCCCAAAGCTCCCATGCGGTGGCACAATGCCTCGGGACCAGCACTCGGTTGTTTTGCTCGGATTTAGCCAAAAACCCACTGGAATCATGTACTCAGACCTTCGCAATCTATGCTGATTCTCCAAGGTCCACATTACAACAGGGACCCTCGAAAGGAACCCTGAAGTAGAGACATGCTCTCCTGAGAGTCAACAACGAAAGGAGACGAAAGAAGGGTTCTTGATGCCAAGGTTCCGTTGAAGCTGGAAGTTTTGGTGTCATCCACGGAGGGAAAGTATATCGTCCTTTGCTTCCGGTGACCACTCGGCGATGACATGGAGGCACATAGCTCACCCTAACGCCCTAAACCCTACATAAAGTCCAAAACAAACTGTAACACGTCGGGGTTCAGCGCATCTCCACTGAACTTGATGGTGTCTCCACGATACGCGTTGATGAGGTCTATCAGCGGCGTGAAGAACGCCTCGGGACGACAACCCTAAACACCGAATCCGATTCCTCGCACTCTGTGGGAAGTTGAGCTTTAGGATCCACGGGTGTGGGACCTGCCACAGGGAATCGGGGAGCTCCGGCCACCGAAGCTCTGCTTCCCAAAATTGAGTCGGTGATTTCTGGTCGGAGCTCAGGCTCCTCAACCTGAAACCTCTGAAACCCTGCTCCCCCTTCCTGGACCCTAAACCCCGGAAAGCTTAAGCCCTGCCTGAGCCCTAAAACACAGAAACCCTGAAAAACAGCGTGTTGGCGCATGCTTCTAGTTCATACTAGAACGAAATGCAAATCTGCAAGAAGCGTTATGAAACCTTGCATGGGATTCACAATGAACCATGAGAATAATAACCTGATTGTTCATGACAATTTCTGGATTAAACATGACATTCGATTGCAACCACCATCAACGACATACATTTACAGAAACATGCGCAACATGTACATTGTACATAACCAAACCTAAAATATACATAGAGATACCTAAAAAAAAGCAAGTACCTAGAAAAATGCAGACATCTACACACCCTAAACCGGCTGGGGGTTGCGCCGTCAGGCACTGAGAGAGCAGCTCGGCGCCTGGGCGCCGAACGTCAGGGGCTTCGTGGACTTCGAGGCTTCTACAGGGCTAAAGGGCTTCTAAAAAAAGGGCATTAAGTAAAGGCATTCACGCTCGGGGTTTGCGGCTTTCAGTTGTGGGGCTTTAGGGATTTAGGATCCGGGTGCCTCGGTTTTTGAGTGCGGGCCATGCGCACGTTGGGAACTGACACCCTCACCATGCAAAGGACTTCGCATTCAGGACTCAGGACTCAGGGTTTCGGGTTCAGGGTGCAGAGCTCAGGTTGAGGATTCACTCAGTGGGCGAAAATTCAGCTGCTGAGGTCGCAGCCGTTGCTCTTCTTGGCTAACTTCTCTGTAAGGGCCGTGAAGCCACTTGCATCTGAGAAGACAACACCTCAGCAAGCATGACAGCCTCATGCCGTAGAGTCCAAGCATGTTCTGACATCGCGGGGGCATGCTCCAACGATCGGCTGTTGCTGCAAGAGATGCTAAGGTGAGGGCCGCCAGACCCTTTATGAATGACGATTTGCTTCTCATCGAGATTCCCTTCAAAGAACGCCTGCAGCTAACGCATATGAGACTCGGCAACAGGGAGGTGGTAGCTGCATTGCACGGTATGCTCGGCTTCACTTCCCCCCTGCGAATGAGAAGTATCAACAGAGAGAGAGAGAGAGAGAGAGAGAGAGAGACAGAGAGAGAGAGAGAGCCAGAGAGAGAGAGAGAGAGAGAGAGCGAGAGAGCGCAGCTAGAGTTATGGCATGTACAGTCATACATACATATATATATATATATAGACATTCATTTCTTTATTTATATATTTATATTTATATTTATATATATTTATATTTATACTTATGCTTATGCTTATATTTACATTTTTTTATTGATATTACATTTCTATGTATATATTTATATTTATATCTATACTTATATTCGTATCCATATTTATAGGTATATTTGTATGTATATTTGTGTTTTTTGTTTATATTTCTATTTCTATTTCTATCTATTGTGATATTTAGGTTTCTATTCATATTTATTTTTATATATGTATACATATGTATATCTATGCAAATTGTGAGAGTGAAACGGAAGAAAGAATAAGAGGAGGAGCCAGCAGCCGCAGAATTCCTTTAAAGCTTGATCTCCCAGCAGACTTTGCAAGCTTTGCTGGCGGGGCCTGCTGCAAGATGAAGGGCACAAAGGCCAGCGCTCCATTGAGGGTCTGAGTGTTCTGATCCTCGTAGTAGGGCGCACTTTCTGCTGCGACAACATGCAACAACTACAGGATTCGACAGCTGGGCACCGAGGGCCGTGCATTCAACCAGTTCTTTACACTGTCATCCAGCTTGTCAAGAGTGACATTAGCCAGCCTTGGCGAGAGCAGGACACTGCACTGCTCATGACCGTTTAGGGTCGTTCGGGTTCAGGGGTTTAGGCCTTAGGCCCCCGATCCTGCCTAAAACGAAGTGGTATCTACATTATGGTCTCTCTATCAGCCTTGCTCAAAAACATGCAGATTTAAGAGCTGCCTATGTAAGCGCAACCCGGACACGTCTCGTTCTGCATGATGGTTTCGTCTATAATCTGACCTGAGAGGCTTGCCAAGCAGCAAAAGCACTGGGACGAGCTGACCTCCCTCTCAAAAGTCCACACTGCAAGCACTCTCCTGCTTGTTGCAACGGACAGGTGGGGGACGAGCCTGGTAACGCATCGTCTGCTGACATCCCTCCACCTGCAGTGCCGGGGGGGAGGGTTTGATCCAATTACGAAATTCCAAACAACAAGAAATGCAATACCGCAAACAGCCCGAATAGCCCATAGTCTAGATCAACCCCGTGAGAAGCCGCAGAGTTGTAGAGGACTTCGCGTCACCACGGGAAGTGCCGGACCAAGCTCCATGTCGCAACTTCGGAGGTATGCGTGAGCACCGCCAGTTTGCAGCAGAGGAGTGTGGAATCTAGTAGGTGTGTTCATGCGTCAGAATAGTACAGCAACCTAAAGTAGGAAACATAGCTTGCAAGTATACAGGAGTTCTTATATTGACCTAGGGTATGCCTGCAGAACCCTAAAACTAAAGCCTAATCCTGATCCCGACACCGGGCCTGTGTAGAAGGACAGTGGATGGGTCTTCGGCCTGAGCTTAACACGAGCAGCCGGTGAATCTGACCACCAACCCTGACTGTGGTGTCTAGGATTTGGGCTCTGGCGTTGATTGGGGGGTAGGGACTTCGATCTGAGGCCAGGGTACAACGACAAAGTGTGCCGTTGCGCTGTCTGCCCTTCGCTGAGGGTTTAGAGTTTAGGGCTTTTTCTATGTGTAGGGCGCGTATCCTCAAGCCACAACACCATCAAGCTCTGCTTCTCTCTGCTCTAAGACCCATGCTCCGTGGAAGGTGGCGAAGGTCTGAATGAACTGGGCCTGGATTCTACAGCGGAGTTCTTCGCGGTTAGGGATGGCCAAAGCCTCGAAGGCCGAAAGCCTCAATAGAAAAACAGATATCCCCCCGAAATACAAACATGAAAATCCCCCCTTCCTCAAAACTTCGGGGCCCGCAGTAGAAATAGCCCTCTATGAAAAAATGATATATATCCTCATATATATATCCTCATGCATATATATATATATATAAAGAGATAGATAGATAGATAGATTTAATATTTGAATACCCCTTAACAGAATTCTATGAAGGAATATACAAATTTTGGGTCTATAGAAAGGGCTATAGAGGGTACCTAATGTCGCAGGCGCCTGATAGCGGAGCTGGAAGACGCAGCCGTGGTTTGCCACCTTTGGCCCGGCTGCCCCTTCCCACCTCCAGGGGGCAGACGTCAAGGGTTTAGGGTTTAGGGCTTGGGGTTTAGGGTTTTGCTATTTTTTAACAACCCTGTGCACCTTTCCTAGTGCAGGCCACTGGCCAGGGTAGCCAACTTTCCGGGACTTCAGGGCTGCCGTGAAGGCATAGCTTAGGGTTTTGGGTTTAGGGTTTAGCGTTTCGTATTTAGGGTTTAGGGCTATGGGTTTAGGGTTTAGGCCCCATCGGTTTCGGGACTTGGGGGGGGGGGGGGGGCAGGCCGTGGGTGCGCTTTTGAGGGTTTTTTCGGGCTTCGCCGCAACTCGCGTAAACTGATGGCGCGCCTTGTCGAAATGACAATGCAGGAATGCCTCAGCACGCAGAATCAGCCGACACGCACAAAAGGCTGATAATCAGGAAGAAACCCGGCCAGATGCAGGCAAGTGGCAGCTTTGGCAATTCTCAGGTCAGTCTACGGAGCCGCCACCATGCTGCTCGAGCCCAAACAGGTGGGATTCAAGGTCCAGTCGGTCCAGCGGTTCCGGATTTAGGGTTCCACTTTTGAAGTTTAGGTTTCCCATTGTAGACCCTATCGTGGCGAAGCGCTACGGCATTCAGCTCAGGGTTTGCCATGGTTTCACGGTTCTTAGCTTTGCCCAAACTTTCTAAATTATTACAGGGGATGTACCTTTAAACCAGACTAAATGTAAGGAAGCTCCCGTGAATAAGCTGTTTTGGATGATCTGGGAACCCCGATGTGACCAAAGACAAGACAACTCAATCGGCACGCTCCAGCGAGGTCGATGGCGTTGCCCAACACCTGCTGGCGGGAATGACAACAGTACACCCCAAACCCAAGCCCAAATTTGAAAACCACAGGCGGTGCCTGCGCATCGCCCAATCCAGCTGTTGACCGTTGAAGAAGGCCAATCAGCTCCCGCTCAAATCTCAGGTGCTGAGCACAGCCACTGAGACTCCGCCCAAACCCTACAGCTGCCTCGAAAAATTCTAAGCCATACAACCAAACACTTAAAGCGGCACTCTGAGCGGCGAGCTGCTCCAAAATCGCCTCGTTGCCGGCCTGGCCAAGGCTCTATCCAGGATTAAGAAAAGGCTTTGGGGCTTTTCGGGCTTCAGGTTCAACTATACAGAATATCATGTCATAATGCCCCTACACCCTCAACCCAACAATAAATAACGTTTGGGCGAACCCCCCGCACGGTGAATCGAGGAACCTGTGGTGGAGATGACAAGGGCTTCACGTTTAGGGCACTTGAGGGCACTTTTCCCTAAGTCCGGCGGTGTCTCCTCGCCCTCCTCGAAGGCCGTGTCGCTCCAGTCCCGCTTCATCAGCGCTGCACGGTCGGCCTGTGAGTAACACGCACATCACCCACTTTGGCTTTTTCGGGTGTCGGGTTGAGGGATTAGCTTGCTGGAACGCTGACACACATCGCTAAGTTTGGCCCTTCAAAGACCGAACAGCACAGCTTCAATTCGATCATTTCCGGCTTTGGCCATCTTTCCTGATTTCGCCCACCCGCTGCATTCTTGATCGGGGGGAAACTCAATAGTTAGTAGGTGGTGCTGGGGGCCCAAACCCAAACCCTAAGCTTACGGCCTGAAACTTTACAAGCAATCCCCAAACACTGAACCCAACCTTCACCGCACCTTCCACCTAACGTGCTGAGTGTACCCTACAATCATTCACCTGGAAGGGGCACCGCCCAGCCGAACGGCATCGAGGGCACTTCAACCGCCCAGACGGGACGGTCAAGCCTCACGCCCGCCTCCCCACCCTCCCCACCCTCCCCTCCCGCCCTCCTACCCCATGCCACTAAACCACATCGTCCATAGCTGACTGCCTTGCTGGCGGCTCAAGTCCGCGTAGGACCACACCTACCACACCGATCCACTCTAAAGTTCGTGGAGCCGCGCCTGCCACACCAATCCATTCTCACATGCTTGTTCGGTCCTGTACGCCGTTCTGACCCCCCGGCTGCACAGAGCGTACAAGAATGGTTCGTCTCGAAACCCCACTGGCCCGGACTTTCCTGGTCCGCTGGGTCAGAACCTTTCATTCACGCCCTCTTCTAAACTCTACACCCCCCCGACCCATGCGCCCCCCCGTCTTCCTCCATCATGAATTTTGTGAACCCCCCCTTCAACCCCCTACCCAGTATTTGTTGTGAGGCTTCTGCAACAAAGCGAACCCGAGGCGGGTCGAAAATTGAAACCCCTTCTTGGGCTCCAATGCCTTTGAGGAGCCTTAAAACTTTCTTGGCTTTCAAGAACTGAAACCCTGAACCCTTCGGAGAGTCGCCTGGTCCTGGCGGAGGGTTGCCAGCATGCCCTCCATTGCCTCTACGGCCTGGCCGGTGACTACCGGGGCAGTTCTAGGGGTGTAGGGCTTCGGGTTGAGGATGCATAGGGCGTCGGGTTGAAAACCCTAAACACCATGGTTTAACGCTCAAGCCGCCGCGAAGGTTCTACACTGCTCTGCTCCTACATGACCCTGAACCCTTGACCCCAAATCCTCAAAATCCATGAAGTCCCTAGAAACAAAGGTCTGACACAACTGCCGAAACCCCTAGACACCAAACCTCAGGCCCCAAAACCCTGAAAAACTAAACCCTCAAAACCTACAATCCCAAACCCGAAACAAAGAAACCTTACATTGAGGTCATGGGCCCTTCTTGGCACCCCAGATCATCCAAAACATGGTACACTGGAGCTCCCAGATGAACCGCGACTTAAGATCCAGTCGTGCGTCAAACCCGAAAGCCCCAAGCTGCCAAGCCTTGCAGACCCTAAAACCCTTGAAGACCCTATAGGGTTTGTGGTTCGTAAACCTCCAGGGACAAAACCCTCAAACACTAGACCCTAAATTTCTCTCAAACTTTTAAGCCCGAAACTCCCCCACCACACGCTAAAGCCAAAAACCTAAAGCCTGAACCCTAAACCCTAAACCCTAAACCCAAACAACAAAAAGGTTCGGGCCTCGGCCGGGGCGTCTGCCCGCAGTCGTTGGACCAGCGCCCCCAACTGTGCCGGCATCTTGGGGTTTTGGTACTGCTTTGGTGGATTTTGGAGGTTCAAGTTAGGGATTTCTGGTTTTGGGTTTGGGGCCTTAGGGTTTGGGAGGGTCCATCATTTAGCAGGGGGGAAGGAAATTGACTCGAGCTACAGGCAGCTCGGATTTGCCACTCGGGCTTCGGGAAACTCGGGAAACCTCTTCGACAGCTGCAAGCTCAACACTTCCTGAAGGGTTTTGGGCTTAGGCGCATAGCCTTGAATTTATAGCATTTCGATGCGCCTCGTCCATCTGAAGCGGCTGCAGCGCTGAGGCCTAGTTTCGGGCTGAGGGTTTTAAGTGGCCCCCACAGTGCGGGCGCTGCTATCGCAACAAGAAGCTGTTCGCCTCATGACAGAAGGCAATGGGAAAATATGGATGGATGGATGGATGGATGAAGGCATGCATGTATTTATGCAAAGTATGCGTGTAAATATGCAAGTCTGTAAGTATGTAAGTAGGTATGTAAGTATGTAGGAGTACGGAAGGAAGTAAGTAAGTATGTATGTATGTATGTATGTATGTATGTATGTATGTATGTGTGTACTGAAGGGTTTGTTTAACAGGTGCGCACATACATATGTAAGGCCTATATAAGAAGGATACACGGGTTATGCATGGTAGTGGGATCAACCTTTAACCTATAGTGTCCCTTGATTGAAGGACTCCTTGGTGCCCTGCTGAGAGCCGTCGCGCCGCATGCCCTGGAGACTGCAGGCTTTGGGTCTTTGGTCTGGGGTGTTTATCCCGCCAAATCGATGAACCCTAGACCTCAAGCCGGCTTGGGTCTAGGCGTTGAAAGGGGGTCCCTAAACCCTAAACCCCAAATCCTGAACCCTAAGCCCCTTCACGGAGCCTCTTGGCTGCTGCAACAGCGGCCGGCCCGCAAGTCCTGCTGGACCGCTGCGGACGAATCCTTGGTTTGGCGTGGTCACATAACCCCATGGATTACCTTTTGGGGCAGACCGAGAAAGAACACTCGTTGGGCAGGCATAGGTATATCGGTATATCCCTAATGTAAAATGCGAGGCCCCACACTCTTTCGCACCGACCCTTGGCATCTCACCCCTCGGGGTAGCACGGTGAAGCGCTGTAACTGCTACCCCAGGTGAGAAAGGATGTGCAGCCAGAGAAAGGCTGAACCGAGCAAGCAACGCGATGCCACACCTTTATCCTATTCACTCCCTGGTTCTTTATCTGAACTGGCAATGACTGGTCGGCGTCAAACAACCTCTGCTTTACCAACTCTGGCTGACATCAAAGAAAAAGTGCAGCCAACTTGCGTGCACGAGGGACTCCGTCACACACGAATCGAAAACATATTCAACATTCATTCGTCCTCTTCCTTCTCGGCCATGCGTCGTGCCTCTTCTTCGGCTTGCTGCACCGTGTCGAAGTACCTCTGCTTCAGCTTCTGCACTCGCTCCGTCATCGAATGAATCTCACCGTCGATGGCTTTGATCTCTGGGCCCACCAGACCTGGGTTGTCAAGCCGAAGCTGCTGGAGCTCCTTCGAGACCTTCAAGCAGTCGTCTTCACGTTGCTTCAAGTCGCACTTCTTCCGTTTAATCTCACTGGCCCAATAGTCCGACTTGTAGCCGAAGCAAGTGATCTTGTGTTCATGCTGCACACCATCGCGGTAGTCAGTCACTGACTGGAGTATGCCGCGCTCATCCTGAAAGTACCCTTCCACCATGGTGTCGGTGCGGCGAGTTACCACCGTGCACCTCTGCCACTTTACAAAGCTCCTCTTTGTCAAGGGCTTCAATGCCCGCACGAAGATTCTTCCTCTCTGTGTCGAAGGTCTTCATCTCATCTTCCAGTAGCCTGGCTTGCATTTTCACAGGGTCCGGAAGTTTCAAAAGCTGCTTTTTGGTTTCTTCCTTCTCCGCGATGATACCCTGCAGGCGGGCAGCCTCCTTCCCATGCCGCCGCTGCACGCCTTCAGTCTTGGGCACTTGGAGAGTCTGGAGCACGGCCGGGGCCATGTTCCTTACTGCAAGGTCTAAGATCTGATCTCGAGGGCCACGGGACTGCTTTAGCTCATCTTCATCCTGAGGCACAGAGTTGATTGGCACCGTGAAAGGAGCCACCGGCAGCTCCAACTCTTTCTGCACATCATCCGCACTCTGACTAACGATGCGCCCAAGCAGTTCAGGGTCTTTCTTGTACTTCCTGTCCTTAGGCCGGTAGTCCGTCAGCACAAGAATCAAGTTTGAATTCGTCTTGAAGACCTCATCCCCCAGCAACTTATAGTAGTACTGGATGGTGTCCTTGTAGGTCTGATCCATGCGGGAATCCATCTTCATCGCCAGGATCACCGCATGCACGTGGTGCAGCTGCCTCGCTGTCTTCACAACATTGATCATGTGATGGAGATCACGCTCATGGCTTTCATTCAGACCTGGGGTGTCCATGATCCTCACTTGCCCATCAGGCGAGTCCTTGATTGAGCAACTTGCCGTGCAAGAGAGCCGATCGTCACCTACCCGGAAAGGTTGACGACAACCATCCTCTTCAAAGATATAGCGCAGATCGGGATGTAGCAGGAAGTTACCCAGGGAGCTCTTGCCATGCCCAGTGGCGCCCAGCATCAAGATGTTCACTGGACCAGCTCGGGAGGCCTTTGCCCGTACTTGGGCACACTGAGTCCTGGAATGGCCAATGAGACGAGGGAGCAGCACGATCATGACGAAAACTAGGGGGACGCACACGTTCTCTGAGCCGAGCTCACAGAGAAGCTAACTGAGAAGCTCAGAACCATGCCCACCCGCAGACATCAAGATAGCCCAAGAAGAATAGCAATCATTACCTCTACACTGATAAATCCGATAAAAATAGCAACAATCATCACTACGTACATATTCAAGGTTCTAGGGAGGCAGTAGCAAGGCTAACATTTGAGGACAACAGAGGACAATCACAGTTCGTCATCAACAACCAGTTCAACCCAAGGTCTGATCCATAGTCAGGTTACTGCACTTCACACGCATCGTCAGCAACAACCAGTTCGGGTTTCAGGGTTTAGGGTTGTCAGGTATGAAGGCGAGGCCTTGGCCTAAAAAAACGAACATGAGAGCACCTTTTTAAAACTGGCATGTGCCTCAAGTGCAGCAGGGAACGCTCTCCGGCTATCCGCCTCTCAGTAGCGGTCCTCTGCCAACTACCTGACTACCTGGCAGGTTCGCACGGCGAGGGTTCGGACATCTTCTGACAGGTCTGCAATCACACCGGGCAATCTCTCCTCGTTCCTTTCCAAGTTACACCAAAACGCAGGGCAAATCGTTCAAGTTCGTCCAGCTCCTTCTCTCGTCTCAGAAGCTTCTCCTGAAGACGAGAACACCGGGATAACTCGGATTCTGAGCTGGAACAGCTCGGACCGCAAGAGACCGAGCAATAGAAGCAGTTACTGGCCTGCCAGGCTAGTAGCTGGTTCTCGTCCAATGCGCTTGCCTGAACTCTTTCCCATCTGCATGACAAGTTCACTTGCGAGGCTGCTGAACCAGAGGCCGAGCCGCAAAAGGACTGCGACTTCGTTCACGGGAAGATTGCCGATCCGGACCGTGCCAGGCTCGCAAGCCACGTCCACGGCAGTCAACTCGGCAAGAAGGCGTTAGAAGCTATGACCAGCTGGAAAGATAGTCCTGAACTAAGAGCGATATACTGGGGAAGCCATATGCCTCCACAACCTGCACATGGCATCTGCAGACAAGATACGGTCCAGGTCCGAGATGTCAGATGCCCTGTCCTCGGATAGACTGCTTTAGAAAACCCTGCAGGAAGTACTCTTCTGGCTGCAGTACACTCTCTTGAAAGATTTGGGTCTCTGTCCTCTGGTAGATCCTCGCCTCTGAACGGCCTGGACTCCACATCCTGGCACAAATGATGATAGTCCAGACACAACGGGAAGAAAGGAAACTCCCCTTCCAAACATGCACCCTGAGCGTCTTGAGCCCAAATCCTATATCGGCCTCACTCCGATCCTGTCGGTGGTCCGCCTTTCCTTCCCAGTACACCACGTCTTGGGTGATGAAGTGCGGAAGATGAACCTTCCGCCTCACAGCACTTTGCAAGATCTTAGGTTTACAAGGTATATTCCCTAAATTCAGCTATTTTGGAAGATCTGGGTCTGCAAGAAGGCCTAATACCGTTTGATTGAGGAATAGGCCAGAGTTTAGGGTTGACAGCTTCATCAACCTTTGGCACATGCAGCAGTGATATGTCTGGATGCTGTGAACTGAAGGGAGCCATTGCGACTTGTGAATGAGATCCAAAAAGGTAAGTCCATTCTACGGCCCGCTAGCGAACTGTAGCGGCGCCTACAGTCACCCTGTTTGAGCACCAATGAGATCAACTCTCCGGTTCGAGCGATGTTCGGCCTTCCGGAAGTCCTAGCTCGAGGGTTTGGCTGTGATGCAAAGACTCACCTTCATGCTTGTCGCACTTGTAGCAGAAGGACCAGAAATGCGTGCTCTTCAACACGAAGCCTTGAAGCTTTTGAAGCTCTACATGCTGGAAAGCTTGAAGATCCCAAAGACTGAAAACCCCCACAGTGCTTGTCAGGCGAGTTATTGGCTTTGGGCTTGCTGCCCTATAGGCCTCCAGGCGCATTTCATCGTCCCACACCTAAGAAGGTAAAGCAGCCAGTTGAGGGTTCAGGGTCAAGGGTTCAGCGTTCAATCTTTAGAGCTCAGGGTTCAGCGTTCAGGAGGGATGATCGGGTTTGGGTTTGGGTCTATCTGCGAGGGCACATGTAAGACTGGCCCGTGCCCAAACAACCAATCACAAGCCGACTGCTATCCTGCACTAACCCTGGAGTACAACTACAAGCACGGGCATTGGCTCTTGGAGCCATCGAAGGTGGATCAGTCTTGTAAGCCTGTGTGAGAGATGCCAACGGGACAACTGTAACCCAACACCGCATGGCCTTAGGCCTTAACCCTCAACCCTTGCGTGAGCGTGGAATCTCAGCGCCGCACCGTCCAGGGGGGCAGGAGCAAATGGTGTACTGCGACTCCAACTGGCGGAGCACCTGACACTGCAGTGGCAGCACAAAAGTTACTGGATCTACCTGTGTAAGGCCTCTCGTCACTCCTCAAACTAGCTATCACGACGACCATCATTATCGTCATTCTTATACTTGTTGTGTCTTATGAGTACAATTGTTGGAGAAAGCGCTTCACACAACAGCCGATCAGGGGCTTGATTGCCGAGATCAGAAAGGCGAGGCTACCGAATCCCTGAAACCAACCCTTCATCCCCGGAGCCTGGAACCCGAAACCAGGCACCCAAAAACTTGAACAAGAAGACTTGAACCCCTAAACCCAGCACCCCCGAACCTAAACCTGAAGACCCAGAAAGTGGCCACCTGCGCAGAAGAAGCCACAACACAACACAAGCTGCCTGCGAACCATCCCAGAACATCCCCTAAACATCCTAACCCTAAACCCCAAACCCCAAAACTCTAAAGGCACCTCCTCCGGGCGTGCGATGAAATTGTGCTCCAGCCTTCTCTTCGAATCCCCATGCACGTTCCCGGTGCCCGCGCTACACCCTTATAGACTTAATGGTATTGTAAGACCCTCGCTTGGGCACCAGGTAATTAAGTATCTTTGTTTCAAAATCAGGGTTTGGGGTTTGTATGGGTCTAGGGTTGAGGAGGTTGGGGTTCTATTCGCCTTGGCCCTGCTGTGGACGCCAGATGTTCCATGGGTACCCCCTTCTTTCCCCGCCCCTATAATCCTCCCCTTCCTTCCTCTTCGCACCTTGCGTGCCTTCTATGGCTTTCTGAATGGAGGACCCCTAGCAAGCCCAGATTGGAAAAGACCGCCAAACTTCGAACCAAGCCCCAAATCCAGTTCAACAAGGACCCCAGCAGCTGTCCCCAACACTTGTCTTTCTGCAACCGACCTCGAAACCTCCGTTTCCCTTAAGATTAGGGACGAAACTCTCCACGCCTGAGCCCTAAAACCGGGTTTGGGGGGCTCGGGAAGGCAAGTCGCCGGAGCCATAAAGGAAGGTGCTCCGCGGAGCGACCCCTTTCGCAGGCATAGATCAGCCTGACCTGAAGCTGTAGAGGCTCGAGTTCGAGTGTTCAGGGTTTAGTGTTTAGGGTTTAGGGTTTCGGGTTTAGGGTTTAGGGTTTAGGGTTTTAGACTTGTGGGAGGGCCTTCGAAGTTTGGGTCTAGGGGGGGAATAGGGGAGGTGGGGGACGTGTTATGGCTTCGGGTAGGGTGTGTTGTTCACGGCTGTTCACAGACACGTGTAATTCATGAACCTACCCTACCTATATAATGTGCAAACTCATTCATTCATTGATTCATTCATTCACTCATTTCATTTCATTTCATTGCATTTCATTTCATTTCATTTCATTTTTTCATTTCCTTCTTTCATCCATACATGTACATGCACGTGCACGAGCTGCTGACAAGAAACCCTCGACCCTGCACTCTAGTCAGCTTTTACTTCTAAGGCTTACGGCTTGCAATTTCCGGGTCGGGTAGCCGAGTCAAAGCCCTGAAATCTTAACCTCTGCATTGCCACGCTGAGGGCCCTGCGGCACCCTTCTCTGTGATCTCGTTGTGGGACAGATGCAGCTGATCCAATACTATCTGCCTGAGTAGAGCTGGAGCTCTCTTGGGGCGAGGGTTAAGGCTTTGTGTTGGGCATTGATGTACGGATCCTCCCCGCGGCAGAGGCTTCTTTCTCCCGAAAGAGAAACTACTGCGATGGAACACAAAGACAGAAAAAAGGTGGGATCCCCAAACCCCAGCCGGGACCCTGAACCCGAAAGAATTCTGCGAAGTGGCGATGAACAAAATTCGCTCAGTATCTCGGCGCAGGCATCACCCAAACCCTCGGCACACCGCATGCGGATGACCCGAAGGGTCAACAAGTTCAGTGTTTGTTTAGGGTCCAGGGAGTCAGTTTTATCATTTGTTAGGCTTGGGCTTGGGGCTTTGGAATGCAGCATGAGGTCCAAAAACGAGTCGAGAGCTCTCCTGCACTTCTCTTCAAGAATGTGTGTTTCTGGGCCCCAGCGCTGGCCCTGTTAACCCTCTGCTGACATCCCCAAAAACAACATCCGCAAAATGCTGGGGCCGAGGATCGCATCGATACAGTTTCAAAACTGTCAACTGCCGCTGCAAGAGAGCGAAGTTCATGATACTCTGAATGCCGCTTGGCCCAAAGAGGTTCCTCGACAGGTCCACCTGAAGGTGTCGGGGCTCAGCGAGCAGCACACGATTCGAAGGGTTTCGGGTTTGAGATCCAAGTCTGTAAGAACTCCGTTGAGTTCAGGGGGGTTTGTCGGGCTCTTTGAGCAAGCCCGGCACCTCGTCAAAGTGTCGCTCATCCGTCGGGAGCCCTTCGGAGGACAGGTGTGAGAAATGGGCGCCTCATGAAGCCCAAACCCTCAGCTCCTTAAATCCGAAAGGCCGAAACCCTTAAGCATGCCTAAAGCCCTGGGTGCCTCGCACGTCTTCGTCCTGAAGGCCCTCGTTCGAATGCTTAAATTGCCGCAGCTCCCGCGGCATGCCAGCACAGATAAACCCCGAAAAACGCAAATGAAATGACCAAATGACCCCCCAACACGGCTCCGCGGTTGCACATGCAAGTTGCTAGATTCTAGGATGCCGACCCATAGTACAGAAGCGTTTGCAGCTAAATCTAAGCTCATGGGCTCAACGCATTGTCAGGATAGGCTTTCATACAGCAGTTGCATGATGTATGTGAAGCTGTTGAGCCAGCAAGCCAGCGCCCAAGCACAACTCACTGAACGCACTGCTGCGGCTAAACCCTCAGCCCATCTAAACCCTAAACTTCCTGAAGCCTAGAGCCTTGAACAAGCTGGGGGTGTTGTCAAGCAACCATCGAGTTACCGAAGTCAGAAAACCATATTGTTTCCTGTATGCCCATGTTACGGTACCGTGATGTAAGCTCTTGTCTGAGCATGGGGCGACAAACCTGGAGACGGGGCCTGACGGGCACGGCACGGATGACTGGCATGTTCTCGGGGTTAAGAGGCGAATGTCTGGGGCTTTGGGCTTGCTGGCTTTGGGCTTAGCTGTGTTTCGGTGTTCAATGTAGCAAGAAAGCTACATGTGCTCCTCATGCAAGACTGGTTCCTGCACCAGGCGACATGGCGCCTCGGTGCATTAGATGCGTGAGCCAAGTCCAAGAAAAGTCTTGCATGAGGGCTGAATAGATACAAATGAACCCTGATGGCAAGCTGTATAAACTGCAACACATGCACGCAAGGCATGGCTTCTGGGCTTTTGTTCAATTATGGGTTTTGTTGAATTATGAGCTTGATCCAAAAGCGCATAGCACGGCCACGGCCGTCACGCATCACATCAAGTCAGCTTAGCTCGCCAAACTTCGTTGCAAAACGACACATGTCGCAGAAACAAGCGGGAAGCTGGAGCAAAATCAGCCGCCGAGTACACAGCGTGGGGCGCTATTCGACGTTGCATGTTCAAGAAGCCACTTAATTGCTAGTATGCTTGAAAGGTGGCGAAACTTTAAGCAATACCGTGAAGACACATCGCGGGAGGCCACATAGCTGACGGGCGCTGATTCTTCGTGCCGGGCATAGGTCCTCCGCATCGGATGTTATCAGGAATCGTCCAGTATGTGCCCTTCATATCGTTGCTGTACTGTCCCATGCGCTATCAGTGTCCCTGTTCTGAATGGGATCTCGGCGAGTGGGCTGAGGTCTGATGATACCCCCACCCTCCTGTCTCTGGTCTTTTTTGAGCTGGCGGGCCCACGGCTTAAAAGTTAGGGCATGTTTACGATGGCTGCTGTGCCTACTGTGACGCGGGTTTCGACATGATCAAGGAAATCCGCCGCCAGTTCCACGAAATCGAAACTTAGCCGACTGAGGATATGGCATATGGTTAAGCGGTTAAACCCGAGTCAAGCCCGACCTTCGCCCATAGGCTTGCTCATGCTCTTGCTGTCTACGATTACCATCCGCGCACAACAGATATGACATGCTCAAAGGGCAACCCGAGACTCTCGGCCCGAGACCTCTTTCTGCTTCGACCTGATATGAGTCCAATAGCGTTGTCTCTCGTGAATCGAGTGGGATGGTTCGTGGTGTCCACCAACTTCAAGCTGCATGCTACGGTCCACATTGGTCACAGAATGCCATGTCTTCAACGGTCCATGTCCTCACCGGCTGCTGCATGACGCTGAAAGAAGCGGTTCGACTCCACCCTGCTGGTATCCATGCGGAAGCCCGCGGCGACATCGGAGCAGCGAGGTGCGTGGAAGACATCTCTGCTAACAAGCATTGCTTCATTGCTTCATTGCTTCCCTCTTTGAAATCTTAGCACTGTCAGCATTGGTGTGCGATCTGCTTGCGGGCCACAAGCAGCGTGTAACCTTGCACCTCCTTCTTCAGCCCTTTTTGTCAGTCTGTCGTGCATAAGTCAGCAAAAGTCAGCAATGTCCACATCACAGCCCAAGCCCAGTCCATGAGAGCTCCTCCATCCGCTTCTGAATGCACAGGACAGGATCGAATGAGTTCAGGGATGTTCAGGGTTTAGGGCAGAAGTGGTGGCTTGGGGTTTGGCATGGCCATCAGAGGTACTCTGACGGAGCTTAACCAACGCAGGCACTCTGGAAGCCGTTCTGGGAAACGGACACCCTGTGTCTTGTGCAGCACACTTGGATCCAAAGTCGGAGACAAAACGCCGTAAACGTGAGCAGGCCAATGGAACACGAGGCTATGATCGTATACAAGGACATTCGTCCGCTTGAAGAGAAGCGGTCCACCGCAGCCACCAACCTCATGCGCGGGTCATCTTGGGCAGGCTGGGCGAAAGGCATGGTGTTCGTATCTGGCGGCAAATTGTTCACAATCGTTGTGAGGACATTTGCCACATGTTCATTCCAGCCTTGCGTTCCCTGGCAGAAATGTACACAGTCTGAAGGGCTCCAGTGGGACTCATTCCACCAATCCAACAGGATCTCGGCACCGTGGATGCGGAAAGCTGAAGGAAGCAACGCAGGCAAAAGACGTTGAGCGATGCGATTTCTCCACTGCTTGATGAGCCTCGAAGCAGGTGACTGGCCATGCGGGAAGCAGCCTGGGACAGGCTTTTCAGGCGTGCTGTTGTCAGCGAAGTGGTTTGGTGGCGTGTCCACCCAAAAAATGTTTTTGGGCAAGAGGTCCCTGTGCTCGAGGAAAGATTCTGCCAAAGCAAAAAGACCTTGCACATAGTCCACCGCCAAAAGGCCATGCTTTGAACACGTCATTCGAGGTTGTTGTCGCAACCGTCTTCCTCAGGAGACTATCGAACCGGCTAGCAGCCACTAGAACCCTTTGCGACGTTGTGTTCTGAAGAGGCGTACTGAAAAGAAACTGAGGGGAAGAGAGAGAGCGAGAGAGAGTAGATAAAGATTGGGCAGTGCAAACAAACCTTTTTGAATCCATATATCGTTACTGTTACTGGGAACCCCTCCATTCAGCAATGTCCTCCGCATTTGTCAACTGTGTTGAAGTTGGCCAGGTGAAGCTGATGTCTGATCCAGCTTGTCAGCTTCAAACCGCTCAGCTCTTCAGGAAACTTCAAGGTGTCCAAGAATGACAGCAAGTGCTCAAGCTCTTCCACGGGACCCATGTTGTACCATGTGCCCAAATTCACCACGAGCACGTCACTCTCCCGTGGCGGCGCCGAAGCCAGTGTTCGCCATATTGTGGGCAAGCCACAATGTGTGCAAGCATCTTGGAGAAGTACCATCCCGCATGTTTCTCTTGCAGCTTTCCTGCTCTTTTCCCAACCCGCATACCTCCGTAAGGAATCGAGTAGCCAATTGTTAGTTTCGTAGGTTCCTTCCCATCCTTGCGAACAGGACAGTGCCGTCACTGCAGTCCCGAAGGATGGCTGTACCCACAGGCTGTTGTAGACAATCACACGGCGCCTCAGCCATCGAATGCTGTAGAAGAGCTCTCCAGTCAGGCTGTCACCAACAAAATAAATCGAGCGGTTGCCAAGGCGGGAAGCAGCTTCCATTGAGTCCAAAACAGTGCAGTCGTCCTTGCGTTCATACTTTAAGAACCGCCTGCTTTCGTCACCACATGCAGTCCACAGGTCGTACAGCGGATACACTGGAGCCCGAAAAGAGTCCGAAGAAGAAGAACTGTTGAATGGACGCCAATTCCCCTTGGAGCTTTCAACAGAACCGTTGCAGACATGGCCCACTTTGCCAAGAGACTCAGAAAGCAAGTTCGGCAAGTGAACTTTGCTCGCCATCATCCCGAAGACATTGGAACTCAAGAAGAAGAAAGTCAAAGCCAGACTGCTACATAAGATCACCACGGTTGTGCGGCAGACTCGCAACTTTGCCTGGCTGGTCATGGGCCTTTCTTCCTCCAGGCTGGTAGATTTGTACGAGGCTCAGGAGTACAATGATGCACTCGAAGGGCCAGAACCTCTACAACATGGCACACACAAAACCTTGAGCCACAAACTGCAGATGCCGACGCAGCGCCTTCTTTTGCCTATGACCTCGAAGCAACTTCCGCGCTGCAGTGTGTGAATGGCCAGCCCTCAAGAACACAGCGAAACCAGGACTGCTTAGCAGAGATGCCAGCACTGTTTCTCATTTACTGCTGCAGAAACACACGCGGAGATACACGGATGTCATCATCTGCGGATGAAATCGAGTGCAAGTGTCAGGCAAAAACTTTGGTCTTGGACTTTGGTGCCCCCTCGCAGCCAACAGGCAGGTCCAGAGGTATAAGCGGACGGCACACCTTGCATGCACCTGGCCCAGGACAGGCTGCCTAATCGCATCTCGTGCGCAAATTGAAAGCATTGTTAACCACATCTCCATTCCGGGTTATTTGAGCCCCAGAAAAGACGTCCCAAAACGAGTCTCCCCGAAGAGTTGTTCATCAAGCGAGCCTAATATTCGGACCCATTTTGGCAAGCCCGCTTGGAGTTTCGGCCGGGCTCAACACTGCTTGAGATCGGAGATTTAGGGTTTAATTTAGGGTTTAGGGTTCAGGGTTTACAGGGATTTGGGGTTAAGGGTTTGGGGTTACCGGTTCTTTTCTCGGGTTCAAGCGCTGGGGCTCAGTTTCTGAAGTCCTCAAGCTAGGCGTTGGCTTTAGGATGCTTTACTTAAAGGATCATGGGACTTAGTAACCAAGGTTATGAACTACACCAATACTTTCTCAGAACCCCAATTACCGTATTTATAGCCTTACTTACGCAGTCCCATGATCCTCCAAGTAGGGGTGTGTCACTTCGCTATAGTCACCACCATGAGAAGCTTGATTCCGCACATACGCGGATGAGGAGCTATTGAGATACATCAACCCTGGACTGACACTGCACTGTTGATCGGCACATCGGGCGGACACAGAGACGTCGTGTCGCCATCAACCAAAAAGCATTAGGATACTTGCTACGTATACGGGCTACAACTAAATAAGCGGCCACATCTATCCGTCCAGGACCTATGATAAAGAAGCGCCATATTCGAGTCTAAGTCTATTGATTGGGGACCATCGGGGACCCCATCGATCACCCGGACAGCTCATCAACGTCAAGCTCTCGACCCCAGACTTGCAGGAAGGAGGGAGTAAGCGGTTTAGGGTTCAGGGTTTAGGGATCAAGTACGTGGGAGTCAATGCTAGGTAACGAAGTTACCGTTAGTGATAGCCCTATATACGGCATTAGCAACCCCACTTACTAAGTCCCGCGATCCTCCGAGCACAGGCCCCACTGCCAAGTAATCAGAATAGTAAGACTGATCATCGTAAGACTAATAATAATAGTCAAAGTAAGGTTCCTAGTAATCATAGTAAGAAAAGTTATTGCTTAATTGAGACGTCATGGTCAGGGTTAGGTGCAGTTGATCTGTATGTGTGGGCGTGTGCTTGTATTTCAACTTTCTTTCGGGGGGATGGACCTTGTCAGCAGAATATCAACAGCCGTGCTGCGGTATATGATTTAAATCGACAGCTCCCGGCATAATGGAGTGTATGTAACTGTACTCACGTCTTGTGCTATCCAGCTCAAGCTTCGCAACAGTGGACCCACCGAACCGAACCAGACGAGGAACCCTAGGCAGCATAAAACACCTTTGCATTTGAGCCAACTGTCGAAAGCCACAGTCCGAGATCCGCAATGCGAAGTCCTGCCACTGGAAATCCGTCGAGCACTGCGACCCCCAACACCCACTCCCACAGTCCCAATTCCCCTCCCCAATTCCGCCTGGCCCCAAGCACCAACGCTGTTGACATGCCAGCAGCTGAAACCCCCCAAGAGCCTCAAGATTGTACTTGCGAGACTCCAGTCTCACAAAGGATTTGACATCACATGCAACTATATGCCTATCCTTAGCAGAACAGCAGTGACAATATGGAGGATGTTTGGTTCACTGACGTCCAAACTTGCAGATAACAATCATGGTGCATAAGTAATGAAGAAGTTTCACGACCTCTGACGGGGAATCCAAACCCTGTCCTTTCTAGCTTACCTGTACACTGCACAGTGAATTCGGAAGCGTCGAGGGGAGTACCTACTCTGTCGCCGTCTGTGCGTGACAAGTTGAAACGTCTTCGCTGGCATGTGAATAACTGAACCTTGGCCACTTTGGCACCTCAACCTGTTCATGCCGGTCGCAATTGACACTATTAGCATGCTTCGGTTGAAGACGTTGCAAGACGCCCCGGTATGAAACAATTGGTGCTTCTGACCAGCACATCTGCATCCTGTACAAGCCTAGGCACTTGCATGAATTTCAGTCTTTATCAACGCGTGCTGCTTCGTGCCACAGAGCCCGTGGCTTTGGTTCCAGCCTCTACGCCTCCTCTGCACAGCATGGTGGAGTCAGCTAGCGTCTAGCGTGCCCCCACCAGGTGGTGCCACGCTACAAACTAATCCTCATCCTCCCAACTGGTACTGGACCAACGACCGGCAACACTGTGGCCACTGGCGATGCCGGGCCAGCTGACTCGAGCGGAGGAGAGCCATCGAATAAGGCAAGCTTTTCATCTGTGACCCAAGAATCTCTGGCAGTCTGGCGCTCCTTCGAGAAAATCCCGTCTACGTACCGTTTCCAGGCAGCTCGGGCACGGAAGAAGAAAGGACTGTTCGCGAGGATGCCAAAGAGAACCCCAGCAGCGAACAAGCAAGATATCAAATTGAACCGATGCTCTTCGCACTTCGACGTTGCATGCGCGAGCGTGACCAGTACTGATCTCCCGCCATCGACAGGGTCGGTGCTCTGCCATCCTCCATAGCGCGCCACCATGTCAACACCGCTGTGGCTGAATTGGGACACGGCCTTTTCCTTTTGCAGTTGATCGAGAGCAGGATAGTAGCAAAGCACAGAGGCAGCAAGCCAAAGCGAAGCAAGACACAACTCGTACGAGGGCAGGAAGCGCCGACATCCGCTGGCAGGCTTAGCTGTCCGGCCCCCCATCCAAGCCAAGCAAACCCAGCGGAGGGCCGTGTGCACTGACTGCGCAATGGCCTGAGAGCCACCACAAGCTGCTGCAGCCATGGCTCCCACCATGATCAGCAGATCGGTATCACTTGCGACATCCTGAGTTGGAACTCAAACTAAGCTACCGTCATCAAGAAACCTACGCCATTATATACCATTTAGTATGTATTCAGAATATGGTAACTTATTTCAAGTTCAATTACCCAGCATCTTTACAAGGGGACTCAACATCCAATTGTTCTGCAGCTCTGTCGTAGACTTCATGCGCTGAGTCGTACTGTGCAATCATGAGCTCCCTCAAGGGGCCAGGCTTGTCAAACTCTGTCACCATCAACCAATCAGCCGTCCTTCCGACCCTTTTCTGGGTCAAATTTCCAGTGGCAAGAACTGCCAGTTGCAGCTTTGTGCCCGATTCCCACAATGTCTCTTGCTCCTGAAAGTACTCTTTGTTGGCCTGAAAGTTACGTGGAAAAATATAGGGGGAACGCCACCATGGAGTCGTTGGAGTGCCGGCATACTCATGCAGGCGCCGCTGAACCGCACCAGGGAAGGCCATTGCTCTTATCAGGAGCACCTTGTCACAATGCATGAATGGCCTGTCGTTGCAAATGCAGCTGTATACATCAATCCTCGTGTCAGGTGCTTTCGACTCATTCTGTCCGCTGAATGGGTTCCACTGCCCCGCACTCCCGAGATAGGTCTTGCCACGTGCTGCGATTGATGGAGACAGCACAAAAGGCCAGCTAACAATATAATCAGAACCAACCTCGGTTGCGTTCATGTGGTTTTCGATGACCTGCTGCAGCCACAGAAACTGCCCCAAGCTTTCTGCCGTGGCTGTGCAAGGACGCTCATCGACCAGCTTCAACGCCTCCAGCAGGTCATCTTTGCTGCAGTTCAACTCTTGGAACAAGCATTCGTGGCTGCAGGTGCTGTTGCGCGCCTTCTCAATAAGGTGGAGGAGTTCGGCTTTGGGGTCACGAAATGCATCCCGCATGAACATGTGGCTTGGCATGCGCCTGCTTTTTGCCCATCTGGGCATAGGGACCAAGCGGTTTGACTGAGCAGTAACCCTCTGAAGCCCCCGCCTGTACCAGACAGGCATCTTTCTGACTGTCTTCGCGAACGTCGGAAAGAAGCCATCAAAGGAAGGCTCCACAGCCTGGACGTCATCACTGGCAAAGTCGAAACAGTAGTGGCGAGGTGTGAAGAGCGCGCCTCTGACTGGCAGTTCCATGACGTCGGCTTCAACCAGCAAGGACATGTTGGGGCCCAGCCTGGGATCTGCGGGCAGCTCCGAGGGGGACCCGCGGGGAGCGTATGCGGCAATATGTGCTGCATACGCCGCAGGAGCCCAGGTGTCAGCCGAAGACCTGCTTGCAACGAAGCATGTGATGGTCGCCCCGCGCACAATCAGGCCCTGGTTGTCGCCAATCGACACGTGGTCGTCCACGTACTCCAGGATGCGACTACGGTCATGTCGGGCCGTTTCTAGGGCTTTGTCGATAATTCCAGGGATGATTTCATCCACATCTGGGGATTCTGCCGAAGTTGTGCCACACCCTGACATGAGCTTATAATCTGAAAGCCACAGCGTGGTGCCGGGTTCATCAGAGTCGACGCCAGCAGCCACGAATGCATCAAGCATTGGATGGCCTGCTACTGCATCGGTTGATGTGGCCAGGACAGTGTCTGCCATAACGTGCCACAGGACCAGGCAACACATAGTGCTCCGCGACGGGCTTGAAACCTTGGCAGGTCAGCAGTGACAACTCAGACCGCCGCGCTTTGAAGGGATGAAATGCTGAATCCCTGGCTTACACTGGCAACCCGCTGTCTCCCTGGCAGGAACAATGCCGCTCTAAGATTCTAAGAATATCATCGGGATGCTGTCATCATCCGCATCGAGACGAAGGCAACAGGGGAGACTGGAGCTTTGGGGCCAAAACTCTTGCATCGTGCACCTAGCCTCTTGCGCTGGTCCCCGAAGGGAATTTCAGGATCATTTCATCAAGGACGAGGGGTGCGATGAAGCCAAAGGGGGGAACACCAACAGCTAGCTAGCACTCGCACTCCTTTTGTTTCGGCTTGCCGGAAGTGTCTGTCAGCTGCTTCTGAATCCGATCGGCCTTTGGCCGAGGATGTCCCAAAAGTGAAAGCTGAAGCTTGCTGACAGTCACAATGCCCGTCTCGTAGCGGAAACAGGCGTAGTAGCAAAAACGGAAAGAACTTGTGGCCGTAATGACTTGCAAGCTGTAGAGAAAGAGCACCCCTCAGCGTGACGCAGAGCTGCCTTTGGCGTGGCGAATTTTAGCTCCTGTACTTGCATCAACTGCACATAACCAGGTGTGGGTGGGTGGGTGAAAACGAAAGCAGCAAAGCGTTAGAGCTCTGCGTGTGTTGCGTGGTGTGCTCGCTTGAACCGCGGCGATGGGAGAGGACATTACCCAAAACAACCCTGAGTAAACACAGGAACGTTCTGGTAAGTCCTACACCACGCAACCCAAAGGCTACTGAGCGAAGCAGGGGTGCGATGAAGCCAAAGGGGGGAACACCAACAGCTAGCTAGCACTCGCACTCCTTTTGTTTCGGCTTGCCGGAAGTGTCTGTCAGCTGCTTCTGAATCCGATCGGCCTTTGACCGAGGATGTCCCAAAAGTGAAAGCTGAAGCTTGCTGACAGTCACAATGCCCGAGTGAGTAACTGGCAAGCCGAAACCGCGCAGCAGCCGCGAAATTACCCAGGACAGAAAGTGAGGTGACGGCGATGTCTACGAACATGGGAGCCCCTATTGGACGGGCCCACCATGTGTACAGCTGGGAGCTGCCACAGCAGACGCTTGTCTGCGGGAAAAAGAGAAACACTGAATTGCATCTGCCAGAACTCCTGAAGAGAAACTTGAAAGCGGTTCTCAGCCTTGAACTGAGGTGGGAGAACTGTCGTGCCATCCCATCGCGAAAGCAGGTCGGCCTCGACATTCTTTTCCCCGGCCAGGTGGCTGCAATCCAACGTGATGCCGGTGATCGCGCTCCACATAGACAGCTTCCACACAAAAAGATTAAGTGGAACTTTGGAGGTGTACAGTTTGTTACACACAGATTCGGCTCCACTATTATCAATTAAAGCAAGAAGTTTCAGGCCCAAGCGGCTACCACCCATACGCTTCCAGAAGCACAAAAGAACAAAGCACTGAGCCAGCGTTTCGTAGGAGGATATGTCCAGGTTTGCGTCCGCTTGCATGGGCAGGCCGAGCCGTGTGAAGTCCTGGACTGTAAAAGCCTGAGAAAACCACATCAGGCGGCCATTAAGGAAGCGCAGCCAACCACCAATGCCGCAAGCGGAAGCTTGGCCGAATGCATCTGCGGCAGATTCCACCGGTGCCAATTGCCATTCCACTGAGCTGACGTACTCGAAGAACTGGAGCGTTTCTTTGCTCGTCTCGGAGATGCGTCTGCGAGAGTAAAAGTTTAAAGGCTAAAATCAACCTTTCTAGAACACAGGTTCTCCGCACTCTTTTTCTCTCACTCGCGACTTTCACGAGGGGTGCACTTTGAGCCTATACATCACGGCGTGAAACATGTAGGGCAGGAAAGTGAACTCTTTGTTACGCCCTCTTTGAAACTCGTTGGGTGAAACGACTTTCAAACACCTTCTCACTTTTCTCCCATGCTCCTTTGAGCTCACGAGACCACTGCACGCCTTTCTCTCAAGCGGCTTCTGCATTGTCTCTTTGCTTTCCAAATTGCCATTGACTTGGTGAAACGGGTCGTTTGTGAAACTCCTGAGCATTTCAGCTCCAGCCTACTGGCTTCACTGGGCTCTTCGCCCTCACGGATGAATCCCTTGGATTCTCAGCATTCATGACCCATTGGCCAATTGTCACGCTTTGACCTTTTTCACAGGTCCTCGGCATTGATGCCAGCCCCTTGGGCTTCGTCCTTCTTCTTGGACCTTTTCTCCTTTTTCTCTTTCTTGGTCTTCTTCTCGCCCTTTGGTCCTTTCTCCTTCTTCTCCTTTTTCTCCTTCTTCTCCGACTTCTTCTTAGGATCCTTTGATCCTCGCTTCTTCGATGCCTTGGCCTTTGCCTCCATGGCCTTCTTCACGCTTTTTCGCTTCCTCGAGCTCTTCCTTTGGAAATCCCGCTGGATCCTTTGATGCGATGTCGACCATCTCGTCTTCTTTCTTTCCGGCATCATCGTCATCTTCTACTTCTTCGACAGTTGGTCCTTGCGTCTCCGGCTCCTTTCGCTTCTTACTCTCCTTGAGCTTCTCCATACCCCATTGGGGATTCGGTGGCATTCCTTTTGGCTCGGCAGGCCTCTTGCTCATATCTACCATCCTCTGGAGTTCTTCATTGACTTCCAGTGCTCCTGCCTTTTCCTGTTCGCTGCAAGTTCAAGCCACACTACCAAGGCTAACAAAGGCCTACAAGGAATCCTAAGCCTAAGCGAGCACTGCACCACGAGCTCTCCCACTTTTTGACTTTGCCGGAAATGCCGCTCAGAGTTCAAAGCAGAATGCAAAGCAGACGATGCGTAGCAAATCTGAGCGTAAAGGACCAAGCAAGTATAACGTAAAGTAGATGAGCGTACCAAGTCAGAAGCATAAAAGCCAAATGAATACAAAGGAGAATATCACTTCGCATCTTGTGAAACTGAGTGAGACGATATAAGTTCCTGGCTGTATGGAGGTCCGACCTGCCCCAACAGAGAAGGAACGTGCCTTCAAAGAGGGAGTGGTGGGTGGGTCAAAAGTAAAGCTAGCCAGCATTGTACTGATTTGATGTGTGGCTTGAACCAAAATGACAAAGTACGGTGATCTTTCTCAAACAGCAAGCAGCTATGAGTAAACACATGACCCGTTCGCTGCAAGTTCAAGCCACACTACCAAAGCTAACAAAGGCCTACAAGGAATCCTAAGCCTAAGCGAGCACTGCACCACGAGCTCTCCCACTTTTTGACTTTGCCGGAAATGCCGCTCAGAGTTCAAAGCAGAATGCAAAGCAGACGATGCGTAGCAAATCTGAGCGTAAAGGACCAACTTCCAAACTGGCAAAGTCAAAGCTCGCCGGGCCTACCTACCCCATTTCTAAGTGAGCGCAGACTATGCCAGGCTCTCACAGGAAAGCTCAGGAAAGTGATTATGGCGGCTGCCATTTGAGCTTGGCATCTGGAGGCCAAAGACGCACATCGGAACGAAAGTGCCAGATGCGTGCCAGGCTGCAGTCCACACGAAAGTCCGGAAGAAACTTGGCAGGCAGGGGCTGGGACTCATCACTCCAGCGGGAGAGCAAATCCGCATCGTCATTCTTTTCACTGGGTACGTGGAAGACGTCAAGCTCAATGCCAGTCATGCACGCCAACATGGACAGGCGTTTCAGAAACACCGACAAAGGAAAAGCCGAGCTGTAGAGCTTATTGATGCCTGCCTCTGCGCCTGTGTTGTCGGACAAAGTGCGGAGACGGACTGTCCAGCGTGCCAAGGGCACCACGGAATGGAGACAAAGAATGAGGCCAAGCTGTGCCAATGTCTCGTAACATGTGATGTCCTGGTGAGCTGGCACCTGCAAAGGCACACCCAGTGAAGAAAGGTCTGGGACACGCCATGACTGGCTGAACCACGAAATTTGGCGTGAAGGCCATTCGATAAAACCCCCTATCCCGACAAGGTCCCCATCCGCGCGGGCGTCGGCAGAAGCGCAGACAATGGGAACGTCCGCAGGTTTCTGCAAAGGAAAGAAAAGGGGTGGAACCTCGCACCACTTAAGCCAGAACTGAAGGCTCTCACGGCTGGAAACTGAAAGCTTGCGGCGAGTGGTGGAGGGGTCCGTCACTCTCATCCAAATGCGCTTGGAGGTGGGAATTTTGGCAAGGTCTTTCTTAGACTGCAGGGCCAAGTGCCTGGCTTCAATGAGCTTAGCGCCTGTCGGAATGCTCGTTCCCGGCGGCGTGGAAGTGAAGACAAGACCCTCGTTAACGCAAATGGCCAGGCCGGGCCAATCGCCAGGGTCAATGCTGTAGTTGGTGGCCAATGGACGGTTCGCATCAGCGTACAGGGTTTGCAACCAGGGCTTAAAATGCTTGTACAGCTTGCAAAACCACTGCAGCAACCCGGTGACCTTGTCCAGGGTCCGTTTTGAAACATGGCGACCTTGTAAGGCTTCCTGCAGCAAGCGCTTTAGCTTCTGGACTTTCTCAATCGGAATGGAGAAAGTGCCAGAGCCGAAAGAAAAATGCCAGCCTATCCAGTGGATACAGCTGCCAAGCTGTAACTTGGCATTGGACAGGGGTATGTTGAACAAAGCACAAAAAGCCAATGTCATGCACGCTGTAAGGCCAATGACCTCCTGGTCCTGAAACAGGATAAAATCGTCCACGTAGCCCAACAGGGCGTGTCGGAGCCAGGTCCAAAGGTGTAGAGTGCGAAGGAAAAAGCTTCCCAGTCGCTGGAACCAGAGGGCCGAGAAGTTCGCTCCAACCAGAGTGACAACGCAAAGGGAAAGAATCCCTAACATCGTCAATGCCCGGGAGTGTGTACGTTTCTGGGATCGAGCAAGACGGATTAGTGCCACAGACAGTGGAATCAACCACAAGACGGGGCTTTTTGCCTTCAGCTTTGACGATAGACATCTTTCCAATGGCCAGCTTGTCGCCAAAACGCTCTTGAGCCGCTTCCAAAGAATCTAGCTCCAAGAACCAGCCATTGGAGATCTCCTCTTCCACTAAGGCATGCAGGGTTGGAAGATCCGCTTCAGCGCTGGACCAATTACCATGACAAATGCCAAGTGATTGCTCGAAAGGATGGCCCCCTCCTTGTGGCAGGAAGACATTGGACAACGGAATGTCCCCGTCAAAGCCAGTAGGCACTCCCTGTTCCAGACAGGTGAACAAGGATAAGTCTCGATCTTGGCAGATACGTGAGACCGCTGCCAGCGCCTGGAGGCAGTATGGTTGCCCTGCGGAGATTTCCCAGGAGACAGAAATGCCAGGGAAATGCTCGGAGAGCCAGTCCTGGAAGATGCAACGCAGAGCGTCTATCTCAGAGCTGGAGAAAAGGGGTTCCGCGGATCCCCCCAAAACCAAAGTGCGCAAACGCTGTGGGAAACGACCCTGAAGAAGAAAGGCCAGTAGCTTAGGCCTAAGGTGCGCAAACACGTCTGTGGCTCCCGAGGGTGGAGCGCTCCAGTCTGGCGTGGAGAGGATGCCGGCCCCATCCTGCGAGGCCACGGGAGCCTCGTAAAGGGCCTTGGGCTTGGAAAGCAAAGGTACCGAGGCGAAAGAAAGGGCCGTACTGGACATGTAGAGGCAAAAGCCTGAGAAGCCCTAAATGACGTGGCGAAAAGCCAGGCTTTGTGCATGTCGAGATCGACGGAGCAAGCGGCCACATGGACCAGATCCGCACTGATGGCTGCCAAGAAATTAGTCGCAATCGGCTCCATCCAGGCCATGCTGTTGGGGGGCTGTTCAAGCGACACTTGCGCGCCGCAAGAGAAGCTGACATGCAGCAGCTGAACGCAACGCACAAAGATAAGGTGGCTCTCCTGGACCCTAAGAGCCTGCGATGCCGACAAACCGGGAAGGCCATTCAGGAATGCAGGAGTCCGAAGTGCCTTTGGGCCTCCAGGAAGGAGTTTCAGGCGAGAGTACTCCCTGCACGGAGGGGCAGCGGTGCCAAAGACACCGAAGGTCCGCATGTGTCCCGGAGCCAGAGTCCAGGAGACCGTGTGACTCCAACCACTGATCCAACTGCTCAAAGGAGTAGCCAAGAACCCAAAATTGCGAATGGTGCGGTTCAACTCCGAATGAGAGTCAACCTTTTCCGGGAAATCAAGGTTCAAAGATTCCCAAAGAACTGAGAGCTTGTCTGAGGGAGTCGGCTGCACGAGAAGGCCTCGCCCATTGTCGCTCCCTGGGTCGGCCATAGAACCTGTGTCGGCCAAAGTGAAAAAGCAAAAGCGGAAGAAAACAGAGAAAAAAAAGCGCTTGACGCACAGAAGAAGCCGCAAAGCCAGTGCAAAGCCAAAAAGCTGGGCCAAGGAAAAGACGAAACACTCTGAGAGGTGCGCCTGGAAGAATGTGTGGAGCGTCCACAGCCAGACCTGGGCGCGAGAGCAAGTATGAGGGAAAGTACACAACGGCAACCTAATTGAAAGAAGCTCCGAAGCCGCACAAAAGCTCCGATGCCAGACGCCCTCGAGCAGCCTAAAGCTTACTGAGGGAAAATGCGGCGAAACAAAGCCAGCAATGCTCTATGCACTGTGCACCTCTAAAAGGGCAAAGCCAAGGAAGAGGGGGGCAAAACGAAGGCCAAATGCTGAAGTAAAGGCTTTCTCAGGGTTGCCCTTGTGCCCTTCTAAAGGCTTTGTAACAAATGCCACAGCGGTGCCGATGAGGCAAGTCTTCGCGTGTAAGCACGACCCCGCAATGGCCAGCCCCGCAGTCTTGACATGTGGAACGGCAGTAAATCTGCCGGACGATTACCGTCTCATTGTGCTGGCTGAGCGGGAAAGCGTCCGGCCCAATGCCGGTAGCCAAAGGCGGCGCGGTGCCCAAAGGAGGCGCCGGCGGTGGCTGAGGTCGGTCAGCTTGCGACACCCAAAGCCAAAGCCATTGACCAATATTCCAGCCATGGTCAGCCTCCCTAGCGCGCTGAAGCAAAGTCTCAAAGGCTGGATCCTGCTCCATCCAATAGCGAAGCCAATCGTCTTCTTCCCAGCCACCGGCACCATTGAAAGAAGCGGCCTCTTCCAACCACGCATGTGCACGGAGAAGGTCTGCCGGTGCCAATTCCAGGGAGCGGTGGCCATTAGGAAAATGCGGCCACTTGCTGTCCAAAGCAGTCTGCGCCGGCGTGGCCTGGGAAGCTGCTGAACCCGGGTTCAGGGTAGCTCTTTCCATCTCTTCGACCCAATGAAAAGCCCAATCGCCAGAGCTAAAGCCAAAGACGGTGTCCATCTTTTCCGCAGCTTCCGTTACAGGCGCAAAGGCTGGCGTAGCGGAAAGCCAATGCCACAGCCATTGCGTTGGCGAAAAACCACTGGACGCCGGCATGTGGCGCGCGTCTTCCAGCCAGGCCACTGCCTTGTTGACATCAGCCTCTGCCAGGCCCAGGAAAATGTCAGTATCTGAGTGCGAAAGCGAAGCACTGAACAGCTGTGTAGTTTTTGCACACGGCTCACCTGCAGTTCAGAATCTCTGAGTGCGAGGCCAAGGGACAAAGCTCTGCAATCCCGATCCACCCCCCAGGAGGTAAGAGCCAAAAGCTGGGCCGATGTGAAGCGAGTAAGCACTGAAGTTCCGATCCAAGCACCGACTAAAAATGCAAAGCAAACAAAGCTCGAAAGCAAAGTGATGCAAGACTAACCGAAATCGAGATCCTTTCACTGGTATTCGCCGCAAAAAGATGATCTGAGGTCAAAGGCAGAGGCCACTGCCAAAACAGGAGGGCCGTTTGCAAGGCGCACGGCGTGCCCCAGAAGCGTCCTGTGCCTTAAGCTCAAAAAGTATTGTCCATTCATTACGAACGACCGCACCACAAGCCGTCTTAAGCGCCCTTCCCTGCCAGCATGCTTGCGACACAGCAACGTCGCAGTCGACCACTCTATGTACGGTCTTAGCTGAAGCCAAGAAAATGCCAGGATGTAGATCTGGCGACTTCCCCAAAGGTGCAAATGCGGCCTGCCACAATGTTTGACTAGACGCTGTCGTTGACTGGCTGGGTACCAAAGGAAGAGCTGCTGCTGTCAGAGGGTCCACACTATGCTCAGAGGAACCTCCCCGAAAGCGACGGGGGACATCAAGTCCAGAAGTCGCAAGACCTCCCCTAACCAAAAGCTGCGGCTCTGCCATCGGTGACTGGGCTCCGCGGTGTTGGAAAATGCTGGGACGAAAAGCGCCAATGCGAATCTTGCCAAGGATCGAGGTCTGAAGAGCTAGGGCCGCGTGCGTGTCATCTCGACCGTAAAGAGTGACTGAGGTGGTGCGGTGATGTCCCTGCTCACGGCGTGCCATGTCGCCAAGGCCAAGCTGCGAGCACCAGAACAATACTGTCGCCTTGCAAGAATGTAAAGTGAAATTGCGAAACGCATCGTACCCTGAGCGACCCCACATGTTCAAGGCTGAGCGCAGACAACGCGCCGATGCATATGACGCGGGGCAAAATGACTTTTCTCTGGACCGGAAACAGATTGCTTTGGTTTTTCTGCTCAACACCCTGAAGGCGCTGCGTTGGCCTGTTCAGAGCTTTGTCCGCTCAGCCATCCTCAGATCGTTCTGAAGCCATGCCGCTTCCTTTGGATGCATTGGAATGGAACTGCGCTTTGGCGACGCTTCCCACGTGTCCTGGTCAGCTCTTCTGTTTGACCCTCAAGTATTGGTCATTCGCGGCCTTGCCTATCGTGCAAAAACATCTCGGCTTTTGCTTTCTACGCAGAGGGCACATACGGCCCTTGGGGTATTCGCTGGCTCCAGCTTCTGGCTGACTTGTGGGGTTCTTTGGAACAACTCTTGGTCTCTGACTCCCTCTTTTTCTGCTTCTTGCTTCTGGATGACACTTGCGACTTTGCATCGTCCTGACATCATCAACTGCCACGACTTCCGGCACTACCTTGCGTTTTGGCATTGCCTTCGTCTTCACTTGTAGTTCTGAGCCATTGACTCTTCCTTCGGCCATTTTCCTTTTTCGCATTCGCTCAAGTAAGAAAACTCTTGGTCTTTCTTCGAAGACGTCCGCCGCAGTCTGGTCTCGTCCACCAAACTTCATCACGTCTTCTCGTCTCTGCAAGCATCCTTACCACGCTCATTTGCCTTGAATGCTTGAACTCATTGCACTCGGCCAACTGTCTTTCAGCTTCTTTCTTCTTCTCTTGCCACTTGGCCTTGAGACCCTTGCACTCTTCTAGCATTCTCAACTTCACGATACTTGTCGCCATATGCCCGTTCGGCATCTTTCATCTCTTCCTCTGCGGTGACGACATCTTCGTACATCAGCTCGTCAGAGTCCTTCTCATCTTGTTCTTGCTCTTTCAGAGCGCCAACCATTGTCGCACCCTTGCATATCCCGTTGGGATCTTTACTACTGGACTTTCCATCGTCTCCTTGAACTCCTTAAACATTCAGGGCGTCGCCATCGATCCCTGTCTCTTCGAGCAACTTTGCTCCCTTTTCGTCCAGTTTGATTGAGGTTACAATCGTTGCCCATGGGCCTTCCTCTGATGGGATGACGTATCTCCCATCGTCTTCTCCTTGTTTATTCGGCTTTCCGGCCTCTTTTGGCTCCTTCGCCTTCGAGGTCTTAGGCTCTTCAGCCTCTTCAGACGAACTTGAGGAGGACTCATCGTCGGTCTTGTTCTCTTTTTCACTCTCCTCCTGCATCTCTTCATCCTTCGAAGCATTCTCCTTCTTTCTTTTCTTCAGGAGCATTCTTCTCTTTCTCTTCCTCAGGGGCATTCTCCTTTTTCTTTTCCTCAGAAGCATTCTCCTGGATCAAATTCTCCCTTCGAGCCATTCCTTGCCTCATCGCAAGCTCTTCAACTCGCTGCTCCATCACTTCGGAATGCTCTTCAGCCATTCCTTCTTTTCTTTACTTCTTCTTCTTTGTCTCTCATTTCGCTCTTCGATGAAACTTCTTCCTGGATAACCACCAAGGAACGCCGTTGTCGGTAGTGGAGTGCTTTCAGCCCGATGTTGAACTTGTCGGGTGCAGTGCATCCCACAGGAAGCCCGGTGGTTGGTTCTCCGACTGCTATGGGCACCCCCATACCGGCAATGGCTTCACCCATGTCACCACCAGGTTTGGTGCACCGCCTGCAGTAGTGGACCCCGTTGCCGTTCAGACAGTCCCAGCTTTTGGTTCAGACAGTGCAGCAGCAGCAGCAGATATCTCAAATGATGTCGCTGGTGCAGCAGCTGGTCCAGGACCGGACAAATGCTGAGAAGAAAGGCAAAGGAGCTGGTAGCTTGAGTAGCATCAGTGACAGCGTGGACCATGCCATGGAGGTTGATGATGGGAACGGCGCTCCTATCAGGAATCCTAAGGCAGACTCATATGTGCCGAAGTTGCCCATGTTGGATGGTGGACGCATGAACAAGGGTCGGCGTGCCGAGATCGAAGCATGGGTTGAGTACGTTGAAGTGTTTTTGCCATGGATTGCCTTGTTTGATGATAGGATACCGTCGGAAGTGCAGGCTTGTTTCGTGAAAGACAAGCCAATCCTGAACAAAGACTTGGCGAAAGGAGAGAGCATCAGGAGTACCAGAGTGTTCCTTTACCTTCGGCAGTCCTTTGCGAACTTTTCCCGTGGGCTTGACATTTTGAAGCAAGTTGAGCGTGAACAGCTTGGTGTTCCGGCAGGCTATGAGGCGTTGAGGCGCTTGCGTCAGGATCTGTCGGTTTGCTCGAGGATAGAAGCCTCGACCTTGCGAGAAGAGATGTTGAGATACCAACCCCCTGCCTCTACGAAGGATCGTCCTTTGGAAGTGTTCCGCAGCGTGCAGGTTGAGCTTGCAAAGTATGGTCGACTTGTTGCTGCGTTCCCAGACCTTGCGTTGAGTGAAGCGGATCAGAGCATGATTGTGTTGAAGGGTCTTGATGCGGATGTGAAGAGGTACATCTTGTTGCATGCGAAGATTGACTCTATGAGTGAGCTTGAGACTGCGATCAAGTTCTACGACGCAAACATCAAGATCCTTACCTTCGCCGATTCCGGGCGAGGTCGCGACCGCAGGAACAACAACGACATAGCGAATCCGCTGAACTTCAAGGGCGATGGAAAGGGGAAGGACAAGGGGAAGGACAAGGGGAAAGATAAAGGAAAGGACAAAGGGAAGGACAAGGGAAAGGACAAAGGTCGCTCAGGAAAGGACAAGCATGACAAGAAGGGAGAGAAAGGTGGAAAGGGGAACGCTACTCAAGACCCTGGAAAAGGGGGCGGTGGTAGCTCTGGTAGTGACCCAAAGCACGACAAGCGTGCCAACGTGAAGTGCTACAACTGCAATGAATTGGGGCACTATTCAAACCGATGCCCTAAGAAAGCGGCCAAAGGTGTGGCGGCAGCAGCGACGCTTCTCGAACCGCAATTGGCGGCTTTGACCTTGGAGGGCCCGCACGTGTTTGCAGCGGCAGTTGGTTGCGAGTTCTTTGATATCGCTCAGGGAGATTCCGACAATGAGTCGAGCTTGAGCGATGGTGATTGGGAAGCCTTTGGAAGGTCGTGGTTGTTGGAGAGTCCAGAGGCCACAGTCGAGCTTGGAACCTCGCGGCTTGGAAGCCTAGAGACCCCCGTTGAGCTCGAGAAGGCCCCAGTTGAGCTTGGAACATCGCAGCTTGGAAGCCTAGAGACCCCCGTTGAGCTTGAGAAGGCCCCAGTTGAGCTTGGAACGTCGCGGCTTGGAAGCCTAGAGACCCCCGTTGAGCTTGAGAAGGCCCCAGTTGAGCTTGGAACGTCGCAGCTTGGAAGCCTAGAGACCCCCGTTGAGCTTGAGAAGGCCCCGTCGACGCTTGGTGAGCATGGATTGAGTGAATTTTATTTTCATGACATGAGCATGGCAGCCCCGCATGTGACACATGGTAGCAGCTCTGAAGCCATGGACTGGTGGTTGCTGGACTCCGGAGCGTCGACGCACCTGATCAGCGAGGAGACACTGCAGCATGTGCAAGTGCTGAGCCTGAGTGAGCATGTTGGTAGAGATTGTGTGACTGCCACGGGTGCTTCCATAGGGGTTCAGAAGAGTGCTGTGGTTCGCGTTTGCTTTGCCGTTGAGAGATCCAGTCCTATCGTCGTTGAGTTCGAAGCCCTGGTTGCACCTGTGCGATTTAATCTCCTGAGCCTATAGGACGACTCCTGAATAGGAATTGGACAGTCTCTTTTGCCCCCCATCTCCACGTGCAAGCTGGTGGTTTTAAATTTAAGGCTGTGTGGTCCAACAACTGTTGCTGGTTGCAGAGTCATGCGGTGGCACGGGCCTGTTCGGTGTCTCAAGAACAGAGCGCAGCGCAGCAGATTGCAGACCCCTCGTGTACGAGGCCTTCCGCAGCCCGAGAAGATGGCCTCCTCCAGCGAAAGCGAAGTGGAATGGCGCATGGAAGGGAAGGACAAAGGGAAGCTGGTCCGGAGAGTCGTTGCGACTCAAGCGGCCTCAATCTCGGTGGGAGAAGAGGACTTCGAGGAGAGCACCCGGTTGGCCACAGCTACATCCACGGAGACAGAGGGCGCGATCCTTTTGGTGCCCGCGGATGCCGAGTCCCAGGTGGTGTTGAAGCCGGGCGAGATCGAGACCCCAGGACCCGCCAAAGTTCCTCAGCAGAAGCCCATGCCAAAGAAGCCGAAAGTGAAGAAGATGCCCCAGAAGCCCCTCGTGAAGAGAATGCCAAAGGCAGCGAGCTCTTTGTCGACAAAGAGGACCTCCGTGAAGCTGGTGCCTCGTTCCGATCGCCAGCAGCCGTGGTTGACGTTGTGGAGTGCAAGTTCAAGGGCAGTGAAGAAGCAGAAGCTCAAGGAAAGCCGCATGACGTCAGCTGCAAAGTCCGATTTGAACCGCTTTCGCAAGGAGAAGAAGGGCCCAGAGAGACGGACGCTGGAGGAGCACCTCAAGGAGCATTTTTTGCAGTGCCTGGACCGCAAGGCCCCCTACACTGTGACGACCATCTCCGAGATCATCAAGGAGAAAGCAAAGCCCCCGAGCCCACCGAGGAAGGAAGCCGACTCCCCGGGGTACCCGGAAAGGTTGCCTACCCCTCCGCGGGTTCCGCCACGTCGACGCTTGCCCACGCCTCCGAGGAATCCGACATCGCCAAGGGCCAGCGCATCACGGGCACCAGCTACGCCGCCAAAGACATCGCCATTGCCACCACCACCGACCAATCCCGGAACGCCTACTTCGAGTGGATGGAGTGTGGTGACGGACCGAAAGCGCTGAGTGCAATCAGCCAGAAAGGATCTTCCCAGGCAGTGGCGAGCAGCAAAAATCTTGATGTGCTTGATGGTTGTGCTTGCGCTTGTGATGTTGGCATGAGTGGCATGGTTGGCATGAGTGGCATGGTTGAGCATGTGTGTGTTGGTGAGCTTGATCAGGAGAAAGCACCGGCCCCAGACGGCGACCAGGCGTGGTTGCTGCGTGGTGATCAGGAGTTGCTTCACCAGGAGTTGTGGGGAAAGGTTCACCGTGAGCATGTGTTGCGAAGTCATGTTCCTTTTAATTCCAGCTGTGAGCATTGCGTGCGTGGTAGAGGTCTTGAACCAGCTAGGAAAATCGAGAGGGATTCCGGAGAGGGAGCCCAAAAGGAGGTTCAGATCGACAAGTTCTTCTACAAGGGGATTTGGTTCCTGGTGTTGGTGCTTGTTGGTTGTTTTGCCATCGGAACAGTGATGTACCGTGAAGTTTCAGGACCGCGTGGTGCAGCAGCGCGTGAGGTGATGCTTGGAGAGATGTCGGCGTGGGGACGTAGTGTTGGCTTGGTTGGAGTTGAAGCGCGTGACTTGTCGGTTTGCGTGAAGTCGGATCTTGAGGGGGTGGTGAAGAACCTTGCTCAGGGTTTCGCTGATACCATGACCGTTGGTGCGGTTGAGGTGTCTGATGTTCCGGTTGGTCGGCACGCCCCGGTCGCAGAGAGGGCCATCCGAACATTGAAGGAAAACGCGAACACGTTGTGCGCCGGATTGGAGCAAGTTGGCCTAGAGCCATGTGGCAGAGGAGTCAGCTTTCTTCTCTCTCACTGTGCTCAGGCACACAACCGCTACCAAATCCAGCCTGGATCGGCAATGACTCCTGAACAACGTAGTTTAAGAACTATGAGGCAGCCTCGAGCGATATACGTCTGGGGAGCGTCAATCTTGGCCACACCTCCGCCGAGTCTACGACAATTCATCACGGGCAGATATGGACAGGCTGCCTACTTAGGCCCTGAAGTCGCGGGTGGCAGTCATCTGGTGCAGTTCCGACTGAAGGATGGTTCGTTGAAGATTGCCCGGTCAGCCCGAATCAGGATGTTGGTGCCCATGACCTTTGAGTTGTCAGCCTTGCGTGGTATTTGCCGTATGTTGCCCGAGCGTGCTGGTGACGTTGTGCGTGGCTTGCCAGCGGTTGATCAAGGGAACATGCGTGATCTTCCAATCCCAAACACCGAGACTCGCGGACCGCCAGCATCGTGGGTCGAGGAAAATGGCAGGACCCCGAGGTGTCGAGCGTGTCGATTGAGGGGTGTTCCAGCGGACAAGGCGTGGCACACTCAGAAGTGTCGTGACAGATACGCTGCGTACGTGAAGAGCTCTTTTGATCCGAATCAGTTTGTGCTTGATGATGCCCAGCATGAGTTGGAGATCGAAGGAGTTGAGCTTGATCTTGGTTCGCGTGCTTTTGGTGAGCTTGACGTCGGGTTGGAGTTGCCTGATGATGTGCAGGATTATGAACCGACTGAAGATGAGGGAGAGCGAGGCCTCGGTGAGTCCTTCTTGCCTGAAGGGGTGCTTGAGGGTGAACTTCGTCCCGGAGACTCTGTTAGAGTTGAACCTGCAGCTTCAGAAGAGGCTGACTTCATGGAAGTTGAGCCAGAAAGCCTGGGTCGGGTGCCAGAGCCAGAGTCCGATGCCATGGTCAACAACGTCTTGTTCCGTGAGTCGTTGGGTTTCGCCGCCGTTGCAAATCCCAGTACCGGAGGGCAGACTGTGAAGCTTGGTGGTGAGACTCTTGTGGTTGAGATGCCCTCATCTTCCAAGGATGATGTCACCGGACATGCATTGGACCTTGGTCTGACATACGAAGGCATGTTGCGTGAGTTGAGTGCGCTTGAGTCCCTTGCAGTCGGTGATGTGATTTGGCATGTGGATCCGAAGCAGAAAGTGATATCCACAAGATGGGTGTCAAATGCAAAGCTGGAGCGGATTGACGGCAAAGAAAGACCACTGGTTCGTTGTCGGGTTGTTGCGCGTGATTTCGCCCAGGGAGCAACGGCTGCTCAGCTTGGCATTTCCGCGGCGACCAGCTCAGCCGAGGCATTGAGGACCTTCCTCTTTTATGCCGGCTCGAAGAGGCAGAACGTCGTAGGCCTCGACGTCAGTACGGCGTTTTTGTTCGCAGAGTTAGAAGAAGAAGACGGCACGGTGGTGGTGCGGCTCCCTGCTGGAGTTACCGGTCCCAATGGACGGCCTGGGTTCATGCGACTTCTGCAAGGCTCTTTATGGGTTGAGAGCCGCGGCCCAGACCTGGGCTCGTCATCTCGCAAAGCTCCTCAAGCGCCTCTGCGACCTCACTCCATGTGAAACGGAGCCATGCCTCTTCTCAGGTGTGGTTCTCGGTGGACAGAGGGTGGCAGTGTTGTGCTACGTAGACGATCTCCTCATCAGCGGCGACAGCGACGAGGCCATCTACTACGTGGTGGAGAAGCTTAAAAGCGCGGTGAAGATCAAGGTGACCGCTGACTTGGATCGTGATCAGCAAATCACGTTTCTTGGTCGTCAAATCACCAGGAAGAAGGGCGAGGACTCTTTGGTGATTGGCATGGCAGGCGAGTACTACCAGGAGATCTATGAGGGTTTTGGACTTGGGAAGAGTCCGAAGTCTTGCCCGACGCCGCCGAATCTTCGAGAACTTTACGACAGAGAAGAAGAAGTCTTGGAGCGGGAGTTGAGCTCAGAAGCTGCTGCTCGATATCGCTCTACGTTGGGACGCCTTTCATGGTTGGCCATGACGCGTGTGGATCTAGCATATTATGTTTCCATGCTAGCTCGAGGCCAGGCCAGTCCACGTGAGAAGCATGAACGTGCGATGCGGATGGTATTACGGTATCTTCGGCACGTTCAGGATTTTCGACAAATCGTCCATCCAGTTGATGAACGGAGCCTTCGGTTGGATTGCTACGTGGATGCGTCATGGGGCAGTGAGAGGAGCGTTGATCGCAAGAGTGTGAGCGGTGGTTGCATCATGCTTGGTGGTTTCTGCTTGAAAGCGTGGTCACGGCTTCAACAAGCTGTCGCTCTCAGCTCAGCAGAGTCGGAGTTGTACGGATTGGTTGAGGGAGCAAAGGAATCACTTTCAATCCGAAGGGCAATTTCCCACGTGTTTGGATGGGAGGAGTTGTGCGCACCGCACCTCTTTTGCGACTCCGAGGCCGCCATTGCCATCAGCAGGGCTGACGGCTTGAGGCGTGTCAGACATATAGATCTGAGAGCATGCTTTATACAAGAAGGCTCACAGCCGTAGCAACTTGGTAGTGGGGTTTTTCGTGTCTTTTCGTGCTTTCTTCTCCCTCTTTTCCTCTCTTCGCTCCCTCTTTCTCCCCCTTTCTTTTCTTCCTTTCGGTGGTGTTTGGGGTGGGTTCCGGGTGTGGGTCCTGGTCCTCCCTCTCTTCTGGTTTGATTTCGGGCAGGCCGGCCGTGGGCGGGGTAGCTTGCTAGCTTGCAGTTCTTGCTGCATCGCCATGGCATTCCTCCTGCGATTCCTGCTTTCTTTCTGGATTTTCTTGCATGTGCTGGCGGGCCCGGAGGTTGACGAGCTCTACGCTGAACTTTTGGCGGAGGCCGACCTGCCAAGCCTGACTGCCCCGATGGCAGCCCCGGTTGATGCATCTGCAGCATCATCTGAAGTGACTGGTGCCAGCCCTGCCAGCTTGGTGCCGCCCTTGCCAAATGAGACCGCTGCACCTGCCACACCGACTCTTGGTCGCAAGCCGAAGGTGCGCCCTGGCCCTACGAATCTTCTACACGAGCTGCTCCATGGGCCGCCAACGATCACTGCTGCTGCGGAAGACACAGGCCACGAGGGTCTGTCAGACCCCTCTCCTGCGGACGGTGCCACCATGCTTAGCGGCCCACCTGCGGAGATCTTCCTAGGGTACACGGTGAACACGGAGGGCGAGACGGGCGAGGCTTGGGCTCCTGACGACACTATGGTTGATGTGATGCTGGACAGCCCGGACAGCGAGCTTGAAGAGCTGCCAACACTGCAAGCGCAGCCTATCACTGGGTCAGGGTCTGAGGCTGGATCTGAGCCTACAGAAGACCCCAGCAATTCCTCAGAACCTGATGCCAGCTGCAGCACTGGAGCACCACATCGTCCTCCTCCTGCCGTTACACCGCGCTCCGGGGTATATGTTCACAGTCAAGCCTGCCAGGCGGTACCAACCACACGCAGCGTGTCAGTTCAGGCGGAGGGCTCGGCCATCGATGACGCGATACAGAAACGGAACATGCCGAGACCGTTGCCCCCACCCAAGCACAGACGAGAAGGCCAGTCGTGCGACCTTTCGGACCCCTGTTTCGTTCAGGGTTGTCGCTGGGTTGGGGTTGATTGCTTCTGTCCCGAACTGCACTTACTGGCTAGCATGTGTCGGTTTTCACTGACCTCGCAGGCTGAAGTAATGATGTGCAATGACAAGCACATGATCCCTACATGGCAGGCCATTGCTGCAATCCCGTGCCCTCATGTGCATGCACCGCGCCACACCCGCCAACCGAAGCCACAGGATGCCGCTGAATCACCTGGCACCCTTGTCATCAGACTGGACCGCCTGGATCCAACTGCACTTGTACGTTGTGCAAGACCAATCCATGGCACCATGCTACGTACTTCCCATACTGCAGGATCAACTACGTGCAGACAGCTGAGTCCGGCCTTGGACGAACGCCCTGCCCAGACTGTGCAAAATGCATCCCTGTGCACAGAGAGAGCAGCCCCGTCCGGGGTCATGTTGCTTCGACAGCCTCCTCGCAGAGGCATCATGCAGTCTGTCCTTCGACGCACACATGTGTTCAATGTCAGCAGTGACAGTTCCCACACATGCTTCACCTATATGTGCAAATTAGGCTCCAGGCTGTGCGGGCATAGCTACAGGGCACCCGAGGCGCCTCCAACTACTGCTGCACCGAGGCCCAAGGTCATAGGTACTCCCCTCCTCGCAATCCATACGCCCCCTGTCCAGGACATGGAAAAACTGTTCGGCTCCACCTCGGACTCGACCTCCAGCTCGGACACCGACTCAGATCAGGCCAACCTTGAAAGGCGCCTTGACGTTGCGGTGGAGGAAGACAGGATAACCATGCACTGCCCAGAGGTCCGAACATCCAGAGGTGAACCGGCCATGTTGGTGGCACAGCTCATCCTTCATGCTTGGCATAGGATTGCACATTTGACGAGTGGCTCCTCAACATCAGTGCCGTGCCCAGATGCTACCTCGCTCTCCACTAGCACATACTTGCCCTGTGAGGGCAATGACTCCTCTCCATCTGTGACTGCAACGGGATATGCTGAGGAGCGTCATGTCAGGCCCAGGCTCCAGGACACACACACGAACACACAGCATGCTGCTGCGATGATGCGACCGGGCACTACTGCTCGCATGTATGAGCACATGCCTGGCTGTTGCTTGCCTCTTGGTGTACAGATTGATGATGCTCTGTCTGCCCTGCCAGCAGCTGAAAGGGACAGGACTGTCCCATCAATCAGGGACGTGCTCCAACGGCGACCGACCACCGATCATATCAGCAGCAACCTCGGATACCTGCATCTTTCCAAGTGTATACCTGGCTCGCCTGATGTCCGCCCCAGGTACGTGTCCTGTGAACCATCACCAACAGGACGGTCCCGGCAACTCCCAGATATCGAGGTTCACCTAACGGCCGAGCCGGTAGGCCACTGCCAGAACGCCTGCCACCGCCAAAAGTGTTCTGCAGGGATTGGAGACAGGGCTCATTGTTTTTCTGCATCTGTATCGCTGACTAAGCATGCACTGAGCTTCACTGCGTCCACGAACGTAGCCGCTGCGTCACCTGGACCCTATACATGTCCTGCAGCCCATCATACACTGCAAGCATGCGGTCCTGTGTTTGAATGGGGCATACGTTCTACCTCACCTCGTTTGCTCCGAGCTCACTCTTGCGCACTGGCATGTGCAAGTGCTGCGAACTGTCAGCGAGCCACTCCTGTGGTTTTCCCCGTTGCTCACTTTGGCCCAGGTCTGTCAAAGACTACATCCAGGCGGACTGTGATCGACACTAGATACTCCGTGGAACTCACGGAAGCAATCACTTTGTCTGAATCTGCCCAGGAGACTGTGCATGGAAATTTGACCCTGACCTACGACAACTGGTGTGGAGCTCATTCTCTGAGCACACTCTTTCTGTTGGACATGCGCCCAGCGAGCACCGCACATCCCCTGCAAAATGCTTGTCCCATATACTGCCATGCTGAGTTTCGGCCAGCTAGTAGAAGGGCTTCCCTCGGTTCCGTTAGGGTACTGACCTCGCTATGGCGCCCAAGAAAACACTCAAGAGGCCAGCCACCGGACAAAGCTCGAAACCGGGCCCCTCAATCCTGCGGAGGGGGCGGTTTGCGCCTTCGAATGAAGACAGAAATGGGGCGATGGACGAGCACACGCTCAGCGACAGCAATGACTCTGATAGGAATGCCCTTGACCTGCCCGAGGCCCCCTCAGTCTGTGGCTCAACTGTCGCAACAGGTCCCAAGGCTGCACCAACTTCCCCGTCTTCCTCCTCCAGGACGGCCACGGACACGGATGATGCTCACAGTACTCCTGCTGGAGCAATTGGGGGTGCCCGACTTTCATCGGGCCCGAGGATCAGACCACCAATTCCAGGTGAGGCCTACGCAGCCAGTACAGGTGAAACTCCTGCCTCCAGAACGGCAAGCATTCTTCGAGCTGGGCTCAGAGCCAGAGCAACACGCTCCAAAAGCCCGCCTCCACTCAGACCAAGCCCACCCATGGAAGCACCTGGAGGACCACCTCCACCCACAGTGGGGCATCTGCCTGCTGGACCCCCACCACCCACTGAGAGCATGGGACCCACTCTGCGACCACCACCTCATGGTGAGCTCCGACCGATTACCGCCACCCATCCCCCAACAGCACCCGTTGGAGGCTGCACAGCAGGAGGGCACTCTGATGGCCACTTTCGCCCGGCGGGACCCCCCGCACCGCGCCCAGCTGCCATTACCTTACCCCTCACCTACTCGCCAGAGGGGACACCATCGGTCACACTCCCACCCGGATACGGAGCCCGACCGACCAACGGCATACACGCCTGGATCAGACCATCAGCCCGTGCACCTGGCATCCTGGAAGGACGACCTCCACATGCGGGCATTGCAGCCCCAGGCTCCCCCAACACTCCAGCCATCCTTGAAGAAGCCACGGAGGATGGAGCAAGGGATACACCATGATGGCCCTTCGTGCCACTTGTTACCTCATGCCTGGTTCGCTCCCGCGATGCCTGCGCTTTTTCATGGCACCCCTGAACCCAGGGGTCGGATGTCTCCTAAACCCAGGATCATTGCTAGCAAAGCCTGGCACCTGCTACGTAGATGGAAATTCAGATACCTACGCACGTGCACCCGGAGCAAGAGAAAACGCAATGCAGCTTGTCTCTGGTGCTTGCATGACTGGGTGTCGAATGCACTTACCGCCCTTATTCCCTTCCTTCTTTCTTCTCTCCTTCGTTCCCTGACACACTGTATCCCCATACCATATGCGCCAACAAAGGCTGATCGCGGTCCCAAACCCGCGTCCCGAACGAGAACACGATCCAGGCTGCTCCTGTCACTACTCTTTCTTTGGCAAGTGCAAGCAAGCCGTGCTGCATCATTCAGTTCGGGTGAGCCGAGGGTTGGATCAGAGGCCACTGATCCTGGAGCCAGTACCTCACTTCCTTCTCGCCATACGCCGGCGAACCCAGGCCACTATGTCCCTACACTAACTGGCTGCAGAAAACGATCTTTTAAGAGAGCAGTCCTTCGCGCCAGACACTTTGGAATTACACGCTACCGAGGCAGACTTTGCTCCGTCCACGACCTTCTTGGCCGAGGTGAACAGTCACATCCTGACACCACGTCTCCACATCGGTCCACTCCTCGTCCCCCACCACCAGGTCTCAGATGCAGCATTATGACCTGGAACGCGGGAGGCTTAACGGTCACAGTATGGAATGAATTCCTCACCTGGCTGTTAAAGACTCCGCATGGGCATGACATCGTATGTATCCAGGAGACGTACTGGCGAGATGACTTTGAATGGGACGATGATCACTGGTCATACATCCATCATGGAAGCCATAAGCCTAAGGAGGCGGGTCTACTCATGTGCATTTCCAAGAAACTGGCTCAACCACACATGATCAAGCACACCCCTGTCCTTGTCGGCAGGCTGCAGCATGTACGCATCTTCTTCCCCAAAGGCCATCAGCCATTAGACGTGCTCCATGTGTACCAACACGCATGGTATCATCAAAAGAATGATGATCAACAGGACTGGTGGAGAGGCGCAACTGAGCGCCGACATCGATTTCTTCAGAGGCTCCAGGCCACCGTTCGCAGCTTCCCTATTCGTAACCCGCTCTGTCTTATAGGTGACTTCAACACCTCGCTGCCACACATGACAGGGCTCACTGGCATGGGTCGACCCACAAAGTCCGGTCCCCAATCCGACACTGCCGATCTGTGTGCGTTCTTAGAAGTCCATCGCCTCGTAGCTTGCAACACCTTTGGCAGGGCTCCTGCTGCTACCTTCGTCAATGAGTCCACAGGTGCCGCAACACAGATTGACTTCATCATGCTCAGGCAGTTTCACAGTGATAGGGAGAGCAAAAAGGCCAAGCCGTTTAACTGGCCGGTAGCTGCCTCTCGCAAAGGTGCTCAACATATCCCCGTACAGGCCAGCTTCTCTCTAGACTGGAAGCCATGGGGCCTGTCTTCTGCCCTGGAACTCCAGAACAACATCCAACCCAGGCAAGTTTCCGACGCCCTCAAGCAGGATCCCAATCTGGAGGCCGACTTCGTCTGCAACCTAAAAGTCCGGCTTCCGCCTCAGCCCACTGCGGCCCAGCTCGATCTTGCGCTTAAGCAGGCTTGGCATGACACCAGTGCCCGACCTGCCTTATCCCCACCTGACATCAAAGACAGACCCCATGAACAGGTCCTTTCCCTCTGGCAGGCACGTGCGGCGTTACTTCAGGCACCGATCTCAGACTCCCAACTTCACAACTGCTTTCACCAATGGAGACTCCTTGCACCGGCCATTCGAGCTGAGCGCCTGCTGAAACAGGCGGCAAGACAGCGCAAACGTGACTTCTTGAATGACTGCTTGTCACAAGCTGAGACAGCAGCTGCATCGGGCAATCATACAGTGGTGTATAGAATGCTCAAAGTGCTTGCCCCCAAGCAACAGCGCAAACGAATTCAAATTCGGACTCCTCAAGGCCAGGTGCAACGCCCTGCTGCTGAACGCGACACCCTTGTCGCGTATTATGAAGAACTTTATCAGGCACCCTCAGCGGAACCTGCCCTGGATGCTTGTCCAGTGATATACACTGCTGATCACTGCTTGCATGCCCTGCGAGCCCTGCCACGACCCAAATCAGTTCTTCCAGGTGCAGCCCCGGGCATACTCTGGGCCCTTGGAGCCAGCGCTATTGCGGAGGAGGCGACCCGCATCCTCAATGATGCGCTCTCCGCACTACCTGACCCGCCGCAGCCTGAGCTCACGGACATTTCCCTTTGCCTGTTGCCCAAACCCGCTAAAATAGCTCAGCAACCCTCAGATGTGCGTCCGATAAGCCTCTTACATCCACTCAACAAAATACAGGCAAGCATGCTGGCTTCCATGGTTAAGCCCTTCCTTGACTCCTATCTGCGAGGTGTCCCGCAATATGCGTATGTAAGTGGCAGATCTGCACCTGAGGCACTCGCCAGAGTGTTTTCACACTTGCATTCCGTTCGCCAGCTCGCACCCAAAAAGGAGCGCATGGTCCAACGTCGGCAGCAAGGACTTACTCGCACAGAATGCTCGGGAGGGCTCACCTTCTCTCTGGATGTTGCAAAAGCCTTTGACACCATCCCTAGATGGGTCATTCAAGCTGCTTGCGTTGATGCGGGTATCCCACAGCACATACTACAGCACATCGATGCAGTTCATGCTTATCTCCGAGTTGGCATTAATCACTTTGGGCACCATGGCTCTTGCCGCACAAGCCGCGGCATTCGACAAGGATGTAATCTCGCACCTTCATTATGGTGTCTCGCCACGGCCTTTGTCTATAAGCAATTGCTTAAAGCACTGGGGCCCAATGCGGCTGAGATTCTCACGCTTTTCGCCGATGATGTCATTGCCCAATGGAAAATCAATGATCCAGACACTGAGCCAGCTCACGATCTTGATCACCACATTGAGGCACTTCGGCATGGACGTCAGCGCACAAAAGAGTGTCATTTTATACTCCTTGCACGGGCGCAAGGCCGAAAAATTCCTGTGCAATGCCCGCTTCAAACGTGCTGACAAGTGGCACATGCGCGTCAGCCCGGACCTTGACTTCCCAATCGTCCGCCAGCACAAGTACCTAGGGGTTATAATCTCTTATGGCAGCTTTGAAGCCCATACCCTGGAACATCGCACCCACTGCGCCTCCACGGCTTTTTCCAGGCTGCGACACATCCTCTGCACCAAGAATGTCTTATCGACGATCAAGAGGGTGCAACTCTGGAAGGCCATCATTTGGCCCACACTAAAGTATGGACTCACGTCTCTCCTTCTGTCTGTCCATGAACAGATCCAAGTGGTTGGATACGTTGCCAGACAACTTCGAGCGATCACCGGGCAGCTGGCCCA